TTACTTATATTTTCCATCCCTCTCTTATCCTATGGCATCATTAAAACGTATTTTACTTACTTACCTTCCAAGTAATGACGTAACCGATCATCAGTCAAGAGAATTCTAATTAAACTGAGTATTATTAAAAGGCTTAAACAAAAAACAAACATAATGGAGTAGCTAAACTAACCTTGATCTAAAGTGATCAGTTGTTCTTGTAGATCCTTTTGAGAAGTTTGCAATTCACAAAATGCCGAATCAAATTTATTAACAGTCTGTTTCAATACGTTATACAATCCACTGGATAATTGTTTAACATTAGAAACTATCTCATCATCTTTGACTAGATCTTCCTGAATGTTGAAAATATCCTCTACTTCATTTGGTGCATTATTTCTTTCAGAATTAGAAGAGTCAGCAATTAGTGAAAGATTTCCTGTTTGCAACTGATTGGTTTCGGGTATATGAGAATCCTGATCTGATTCAATGTTCTATAATGAAATAATAAATAATAAAAAATCAGTGAGCAAATCAGATCACTTCATATAAGCAAGAAACAAGCATACGAAGTAGCACATTCAACACAACTATTGTCGTTTCATAATTTAAACAGATAAAAGATCAAGCATTATAATTCCAGGTAACCTAGTAGAGCATTGCTTTTCAAGTTGGACCACAAACTGACTTCAGTTGGAGAACCATTGAAAGCCTTGAAATATTAAGCAACTATTTCGTCCTTGGTTGGGACTCTTCATCAGCATGCAACCATAACCCCACTAAGAATCAGACCTCTTGTCCTTCACCGTTGAAGATAACCAACTTCTGCGATAGTGAAATGATCTACAGATTTAAGTTGCGGCATCACTGTCAATACAGTCACATGGGACAGAAAGGTAAACACAATAAGCAGTGAACAAAACACATATCTCTAGACAGCTGTTTTTATCCTAGTTTGGGAATCATCGGCAGTACGCACCCACTGGGGTTCGAACCCAGGACCTTCCGGTTACAGGGCAAGCTCGTATATCAATCCATGATCAACTCATAAAAAAAACATTACTAACCCTTACAAACCAAACTATAGAAAATTAATCTGATGCTCGGTAGTGACTTGCTACTAGACCTGGAGTTCTAGTGAGAAGTCATGACCAGTGAGGTCCATCCAGATGTCACGTGTGAGGATGGATGTACCACCAACGATATTGGTTGGGGTAGCACTAAATCACGAATCGGTAGAAGTTAGAATTCATAAGCCAATGAATCGGGTCACAGTGGCTGAATGGTATACGAGCTCACCTTGTAATCGGAAGGTCCTGGGTTCGAATCCCAGTGGGTGCGTACTGCCGATGATTCCAAAACTACGATGGAACAGCTATTCAATACTCCTTGGTTTTTCAATGGTTCTCTAACTGACATCAATCCGTGATAAACTCGTAAAAACATAACTAACCCTTACAAACCAAACTATAGAAAAAAAACGTATCTCTAGATAAAGTCTGTTTTTCTATAATTATCACGAAAGTGACTATTAATCCATATCACCAGTTTAAAATATCTTCTTATTGCACATGTCGGGTGGAATTCACCAGGAATCTTAGAGTGACTGATACAAACTCGTACAATTTTTACTTGAGCAGAAAAAACACTTCATTTTAGAAGAAACTTAGACAAAACACCATGATTCACACCTAATGACACATCACGTGATAGGCGCTCGAGTGGAAACCAAAAGGGACATGGAGAAGATCGTGTGAGAAGAAAATTAAAGCTCATGGACAATCATGGAGCCAGTTAAAAAAAAGACTAACCAGGACAGAGTGAAATGGAAAGGTGCTGATGTAACCCTATAATCCACTCGGAAGCCAGGGTAATAATAACTTGAATTTATTCCCAGTGACTAGCTGAAATCCTAAGCAAAGTAAAACGTCGTATTCATTCGAAAGGAGGTGGAAATCCGCAAACAGCATTTTTTTGAAAAATACTTTATCTTTCAAGTCTGACCACGGCCAACCCATAAATTCTAACTTCTACCAATTCGTGATTTAGCGCGACCACCAACCAATGTCGGTGGGACATCCATCCTCACACTTGACTGGATGGATCTCACTGGTCACGACTTCTCACTAGAACTCCAGGAAACTCGGTCCTGTAGCAAGTCACTAGCGAGCATCAGATTAACTTTCAAGAGTTGATTTGTAAGGATAAGATGCTTTACCTAAATCAATAAGCATAAGAAATTCACTGGATGTTTAAAACGTTATTCCAAAGTTAGTCACTGCATAACAAACATTTGAAGAAAACAACTGCAAAATATTGAAGTGCATCGAATCAGCGAAATACATAAAAGTAATTACATCACACAGTGGTGATACAAGGGAAATCTTATTTATCAATAAACACTAACTTTACAGTCCTATTAGTTCAGTGCTCTCTTTATTGACTTTAAAATTTCTATTTCCCTAACCTCGTTGATCTAATTGCAAAGCTTTCGTCAGCCTTCAAGATAAAATCTTCAATGCAAGATTTAATATAAAGTGGAACTTATTTAAAATTCTCCATTGGATGATATTAATTGTCTCTTCATGTTTAAACTTGCACTGAAGATGTTGTCTCGTAAGACGGTGACAGCTTTTCAATTAAAATCTACAAGCTCAGAGAACACAACCAAATAATAAAATTTATCCCATCTGAGCTACAAAGCCTTTTTTATTATATTAATCAAGGAGTTTTCATGCAAGGATATACAGAGATTCCTTAAAAAAGATTGTAGTTATGATAAACACTGGAATTTACTATCATCAAAACTACGTGATTGCAGTTGAAGATGACTCCCCCTAGGTGAAACTCCTGTGGAAGTTGAAATATGGTGATATACTGATTGTCTAGGTGACTAAAACCGAGTAGAAACAGCCAATAATAAAAAACAAAAGACATGCATATATTCACCCATTCCTAAAAGACATACACACATACAAATATACAAACACACAATCAAAAGGTCAATAAAATATCAACAAGGCTGAATCCTGGCACAAAAAATGTATATCTATATTTATATATTTTAATTCTTCATATATGTATATCAATGTGTATTCATTACATAATCCTACTTGTGTATACAAAAGGACAAATAAAAAGAAGTAACAAACACACAAAAAAAACCCGAAGCATTTCACCAACTTTATCGATTTCTTTTCGAAAATGAAAACAAAGTTTATAATAATATATGATATCTGAAATTAAATTTTCTAAAAAAAAACAACCAGAACACGGGTAAATGGAACCAAACAAACAAAAAACAAGGGGGGGGGGGCGGGCGGGAAATGAGAGAAATACACTTCAGCAAGTCAAATAATAATCATAATGATAATTTAAAAAAGAAAAATCAATAATCGAAAATGATATACTCTATACATGTGATTGATTGATTTACAAGACTTTAGAAAGCGAAATAAGAAAAAAATGACAATATTATTAATGCAGCATTATTGACAAAAGTAAAAGTGAGAAACAAAAAAGCAAATGAAATAAAGCTACATTCATCATATCATCAAAATTAAAAAATAAAGGCAAAAATGAAATTATAACAATAATCAATAGAAATAATAATAATAAGAGGAGCAAGGGGGAGGAAATACACAATTTGAGCATACATTTATTTCTGATATATTGACAGTTATATTGAATAAAGAAGCAGGAGATAAAAGAATAACATACATACACCCGCCACAAAGGGAGAGAGAGGGGGGGATTCCCAGCTGCTACTGCATCTTCCCCACATAGGCTGTGTGTACTCTTTCTTTCATAAGAGAGACAGAGAAGGAATTTATTATTGGCAAGAAAAAATGGAAATGTATATTTATAATCTAAATTAGGGAGAAAATCAGCTACCTATCCTATATAGGTAAGGTAGGAGAGAGTATTGCCATCCTCTGTGAAATCATTATATCTACAACAACTTGGGAATACATCTCATGTACATCAAATATACATATATATAATTAATATATGTACAACATTTATACATACATCTATATATATATATATATATATATATATCACCGCTTGTAATTACAGCACGAAAGTTTATAGAAAGAAGTTTTGAAGTACAACACAAAATATATATAGAGCGAGATAGGAGGAATGAGTAAAATGTATGTGAGAATGTACAAAGTAGTAGCACAGCAGAGAAAAAAGGCATAATCCTCTTTTGATAACAATAATAATAATAATGAAATAGAATATTATTGGTAGGAAAACGAACATCTTGAAGCTCATATTCAGCGTAAGAAAAAAGGCAAAAATCAAAAACAATAAACAACCGTACTCACATAGGAAACTGAATTAAGGGGGAAAACAACGTGGGAGGTGGAAGGAAAGAAAATAGGAGATATTGGCAACGACAAATAAGGAAAAAAAAATATTTTTTTTAAAAAGCAGCATACTCATGGCTTAGAAAAAATCTATTGTTTATTTGTTTGTCTTTAGCTCACTGTAGTAACTAGTCTTCATTATACACAGGCAATAATAATAATGATAATATTAAATACAATAAAAATCATAATCGTACCAAGACAGTAGTGATAATCAATATTGGAATGGAAGGAGAAAGAAAACTAATCAAAAATGTTTATCGACAGCATGTAAAAAAAAGAGAATTTTACAAAAAAAAACAGTTGTTAGGAGATAAAAAAGAAAGACGAGAAATTCAAGAAATTCAACCGGAATGTCGTGTTTATTCATTCATTAGGAAAAGTGGCATACATACATACAAAAGCACACAAGTACACACGCATAGACGCACATACACGCAAACAATTGTACGCGGTACAATGATTTCAATGATAAAAAAAAGTAATCAAGAAACACTTGCAAACTTGAGATGTATTCGCGGAAGTTGAAGAAAACGTGGAGTGAAGAGGAGGAGAAAAGACAAAATCACCAAAGACAAAAAACAAAAATATCTCACATCTATAGGAATGATCACAAGTAAGATTAATTGGCAAATATATATATATACGGATGTATACACAGACAAAAAGAGAATGAATCAGCTGAGTGGAGAAAACATATGAAAAATAGATTTTTACAGAGATTAGTAATCAGTGATATTTATCGATTAGGATGAGAGTTATCTGAATTTCGATCAACTACTGCAGACGGTAATGATACAACGGATCCTTTTTTCGATCGATTTCTGCAACAGAAAGAAAAACAAGAAAAACAATTTGAAAACTTCTAATGATTCTGGTTAAAAACCGAAAGAATGAATTAATTAAATGACGACTTTAATAAATTAACGAATGAGGAGGTAAAGTTAATCACATGGTGTTTTCGCGCATAGTATAGCAAACACCAAAAAAGGTGATAAAACACCATTAAAACAAACAACTAGAGGCAATATCTAATATGGCTACAGCATTCCTCTAAGAGCGTAATACGAAATCCCATAAGAGCAACAACCTGAAAAAATTCAAATCGTAACTGACCCACATCGATGGTTCGGCGGTAGAAAATTTGCCACACATATGCACGTGCTCCGGAAATCGATCCTCGGCTGACGGACTCCTTTACCTCGCTAATTTGGTAGTAAGCCTAGTGAAGAGTGAAGGTTAGGCGTTAGGCGAGAAACCTCAACCAGTAAAAATTAAACAACCACTGCCACTGAAACTTCAAAGTTCTAGCTTGAACCTCTACGTTCCACTCGGAACTTAAAGGGTCTATGTGTAACTGATCACCTCATCTCAGTCATATCAGAAGATGGAAACGAAAAAGATGTAAATTTGTTTGGAAATAGCTTAATTGGTCACCCAATCAACACAAGTAAGAGTAATACATGTTTCGTGAATATTAACTAAAGTTAAAATTAAAGTGAAAGAAAAGATGGTCTGATTATTAGAATGAATTTCTGATAGATGAAGTGTGTAATGCTAGTAGTAACAAGTGAACTTACAACACATTAAAGCAAACACCTGTCAAAACAGATGAATAAAAAACAAGTACAAAACTTCAGCCAGTGTTATTTTCAGGCGAATAAGTTGTTTGTTCGACATAAAAACAAAATTGATTTCAGATGATCTAAGGTAACCAGCAGGAGGTCTTCCACCTGTGTATCGTACTTGTTGGCACTCATCAGCAAGGTGTATCTGCAATTTTGAAAGAACTCATGTCCCCTCTGAGATTCGAGCCCATGTCACTTAGTATAGCACTCAGAGACGTTACCACTGAGCTATTCGGGCCCACAATTGTGTTGGATACTTCGATTGGCTACTAGGTAGTAATCGATATCATGCGTATAGTTCTTAAGTGAATACTTAATTCTATTAGTCAGTGTATACTGCGATGGCGAGTGACCTAACATGGTGACCACATTGCAAACTTGACTGTTGGAAATCAGTCTGTAGTAGTCATCTTTTTTCAAGAGCATAGTAATTAGTGTTTTGAAGTAAATATGTCTGAATGCTTCGAAGTAGAGGCAGTAGAAGTGGAAACTGGTAGCTTAATACACATACACAAATAATTGTACTTGATGAGTGAGTTTCATTGAGAATTTTAAAAAATTAATACAAAAAACAACTTGGGATTACTCTTAGTTTATTCTTTGTATATTATTTACTTATTCTACCAATATTACAGTAATCTTTTTTTTCCATACTGGCTAAATCCAAATGTTATCTAATCAAATTATCCCTCATACTAACACTCTGCCATGACACACAAACACCAAACTTGCTATCCACAGTTTAAAATCGGAAAATGAAGGCATAAATCAAGAGTACTTCATTTTCCTTAAGGCAAAGCTATCAGTAACACTGGTATCAAAGTTATGTTTACTTCCGGAATGATTTTGTTTTACAGTGAAAAGAAGGAATTCTCAGGTATAGACGTTTTAATTTCAGTTAGTTTCAGACTTAAATCTTGTTCTACTCACTTGAAAGTTTGATCACGAACACACTTTAGTTAGAGAACTATCGGAAACCAGAAAGTATTAGACAGGTGTTTCATCCTAGTTTGAGACTTTCCGGCAATATGTGCCTATGTCATCACCTGAGCATGAAACCTAGAACCTTCAGGTCACAAGTCGGATTCATTGGGATGGAATCCAGAGGCCCATCTAGTGCCTACTGGTGACTGATTACAGGATGAAGTTGCCTCAAATTCTAGTCGGAAGTCATGATCAGTGGGGTCCACCAGTTTGGACGCGAGAACAGATACTCACTGATGACAATGACTGGCGATTGCACTATATACCATGAACTAGCAGAAGTTATCATTGGTGGGCCAGTGGCCGAATAACTGACGAGCTTGTCTTCTAACCGGAAGGTCTCTTGGTTCAATTACTGTCCATGGTCATTGGTGTATACCGATGAAAAGACCCAAACTACAACGAGACAGCTTCCCGGTACTCACTGGTTCGCAGTGATTCTCTAACTTAAGTTAGTTCGTGATCAAACTTCAAATGCAGCGAAACCCCTGCAAACCAACACTTGAAAACTACTCACTTTGGCCAGTGTTATCACTCGATGGAATCACAGTTATGCAGATACGACACATGTCACTTGTAGCCTAGTATACAAGCAAGTTGCCCTGAACATTGTTATAACTATTATTGTTAGTATACCTTGTCATTTCGAAATTTCACGCATACATCCATACATCCGCAATGTTATACGAAATTACTAAGATCACACACTTTAACAGTCAAGTAGATTAAAAACTGAATTATTATTCAACGTAACTTAAAACTATTCAGAATAATCAATAAATATCTACTATGCAAACAGAGTAAAGTGAATTTATTTTCGTTATGCTAAATGTTTGCTTACACCATTATTCAGTCTTTTTTTGTTAAGCAAAACAGATACAATTGAAAACTATGACAACATTAGTAAATGTATCTATTATGTAAAAAGAGGTTACTTAAAATCACATTTTTGTTCGGCGCTAAAATACCTTATTTTCAAACTGGTAAACCGATAACTGGAAAGGCACTAGTATTTGAGAGCTTATCTTTCAATCATTGCCGTTTTATATTTATATGTAAAGTTTGCTTTTTCACTCCTGGGGCTTCAAGCTTTGACCTTTGGAGTTGAACTAGTAATTATGTTTTTTTATGGAGCGGCGCCGCTAGCCTCTCACCCTCTTCCTCCGACTTACTTTCAGCTAGTAAACTAAGCGAGGTTCATGAATGCGTCTGTTGGACGGGAATCGAATCCGGACCAGTTGAGTGGTTGGCAAGGGCTTTACCACTGAACTTTTGACGCACACTGAGGTAGAGACTTCGAATAAAACGAAGATGCATTCTTTAGAAGTAAATGTAACCGACTGTCAAAATTTTGTGAATTTTGATGAGACTGAAAAAGCCTTAAGGTCGGAAAACTGCTATTGATGCAATGGTAGGTGAGTGAAGGTGAAATAAAAATCTGAGTAACGATAGGATTCGTTTTAGCATAAGGTTAACAGTTAAATTCATTCAAGCTCTAATTCTATCGAAAAGCATTTTTCTTAATCGGTAAGTGGAGAGAATAATATTTTGAAGCACAAACAGAAGTTAGAATTCATGGGTCATTGAGCCAGGTCCCAGTGGATGAATGGTATACGAGATTGCCTTGTAACCGGAATATCCTGGGTTCGAAACCCAGTGGGTACACGTACTAACGATGATTCCCGAACTAGGATGAAACAGCTGTCCAGTACTCCCTGGTGGTTTTCAATGGTTCTCTAACTGATATCCATCCGTGGTCGAACTCGAAAAATAAATCAACTCTTGAGGATATATTTTCATTGAATTATTCTGAAGCTACCTAACGGCACTGTTGAGGATCACACACAGATTCAACCAAGAACGGTCGTCTTTTTGCTGTCATTGGAATGTTTCGTGACTGTGTGTTTCAAGGAAGTTTCGTCAGCTTTACAGTAGGACGCAGAGATAGATTTCCTGCGTTCAGACCATAATGAGTCGATTTCAGTAATAACAACAGCGTCAAAACGCTACAAGTTACTTAAGTAATATCGAAGGATCATGATAACAGTTAATAATAAAGTGTATAAAAAAATGCCATGTGATTTAGGCATTAATATCTAAATTTCATATTTAAGACAAGAATTAGTTGATCAAAAAAGAGAAAATCCACACAGTACCACGGTTTGAATAATTATGCAATAGGATTGGTATTATTGCTAACGCTAAACTGTATTAACAAGAACTGTGCGAAGATTCTGTTAAAATCCAATCACTAGTATAACTATTACTTCGTTAAAACTTCTATAGAGTGAACAAATTATTTAATCCAATTTGGACGTTCCAGTTGATTGATTCTACAGAAATGCTTGGTTTCTGTTGAAAAATCGGCTCCTTGTGCGAATGCTTCAACCATGTCTGAGGATTCGACCTGAACTAATTTTGTAGGATAGCGACTAGCAGTAGAATCTAGGATGAGCATTTCTTTCTACTTGGGACTCGTCAGGTGGGTGTATCTGCATTCCCCAGTGAGTGAAAGGTAGCCCTGGTCATCTAGTGGATAAGGCTTCGGCATTTGAAACAACGGGTACTAGGTACTGGGAATATCATCACTCACTAGGTGGGGGGAAAAGGTAGGTACATCCAAATGACGAGTCCCAAATAGGATGAAATGTGTCTCCTGGATTCCACTGTCAGTCACCACCCATCAGAATTACTTCAAAGTGAAAAAACGTTTTCGGTAATTTCTTTTTCAGGCTCCACAATTATAAATTCATTAACTTCAGCATAAGGAGTGCGTCGGCCGGGGATCGAATCCCAGGCCATGTGCATGGTCGGTGAGCGTCCTACCCGCGTCGGTGGCACAGGGGTAAGATCCTCGCCAACCACGCCTTATGTGGTCCGGCGTTCGATCCCCTGCCGACGACGCACGCCTTTACCTCGTTAAGCCGGTAATAAGACTGATGAGGAGGGAAGGTTGGCCATGAGGCTAGCAACCACATCGCATAAAAATAAATACCACTGCTACAGAAACTTCAAGCCTCTAGCTTGAAGCCCTATGTTCCACTGGGAACGTAAAGGAATAAAAACAAAACTTCAGCATAAAACAGCCGGTAAAAGCAAATCAGAATTATATCAGAAAATGTATTATGGTACACTTAGAAGACAGATAAGATGAAATTCAATGACGTGTTGACTAACTGATTGATTTCAATGTAGAATTTCGCACCAGTTTGAGTTGCCACACTCCATGTAGTACACAAAGCAAACGAACAGAGTAAAGAGAAATTCAAAAGAGAAATAATATATAATGACGTGTTGAACTAAACAAAAGTATAAGTTTTAAGTGAGTGAGTGTAGTCGGTAGTGTGAGAGACAATATGAACACATGCTAAAGAGAAACCAACAAACAGAGTGACAGATAACGATGGTGCAGTGTGTAAACACAGAAGTACTACCACCACCAGTGAACAATTATCAGATAATGAAGAATTTAATATAGTGAAAAGAAAAACGAATGTTGTCTAAATACAATAACAAATTTGAAAGTGTTACGTAATACACTTTGATAAGAAAGGTCATGAAATCATAAAACGTCTGAAATAAAATAATTTGACCTAATTGACTAACTAATTAATTAATATGCACACCTTGTAATGCTTAAATACATCTTTTTTCAAGTATTGGTTTGCAGGGGTTTGATTGATTGGTCACAGGATTTTAATCTTCAGCTGACATCAATTAGAGAACCATCGGAAAACCTGGGAGTACTGGACAGATGTTTTGTTCTGCTTTGGGACTCTTCAGTAGGTCGGGCGTGAGGACAAATACCCGCCGAAGACATTGGCTAGTGGTCACGCTATATCGTGAATTGGCAGAAGTTGGAATTCTTGGGCCATTGGATCCGGTCCCAGTGGCTGAATGGTCTACGAGCTCGCCTTGTAACCACAACGTCCCGGGTTTGAACCCCGGTAGAAGCGTATTGATGAAGAGTCCTAAGCTATGACGAAACAGCTGTCCAGTACTTCCAGGTTTTCCAAGTGTTCTCTAACCGATGTCAGCTCATGATGAAATCCCGTAACCACATCCTTTTTTTGTTGTGACTGATTATTTGGCTCATACATACTCTAGAATGTTGCTTCATTCGTCATCCCTGCCTGCTGTTTTACACTCAATTAGTGGTGAAAAAATGCTATGAAATATGTCGATTTCCCTCTCCCCCCCCCAGTTGGAAGTTAGTAAAAGTCTGAATAAAATGATATAACACAGGGGAAATATAAACAAGTGAAGTACACACACACACATAGACATGATCTGTTGTTACTTACTTGGTGACAGTTGTAAAGCAACTGTGATTTTGGACATTCCATATGTAAAATTTAGTGAAATAGGAACAAAATGATTTAGCCTGATAGGATTGATATACAGATATGTAACAAATATACATATATACACGCCCTATTTCCTAGAAATAAGGCAACATCCAGAAAACAATTGATTTATTTCTTTTTAGATGACTGTATACACTTAAACTGAATACCTTACATCTTAAGCCTTGTCAATGGCATGAAAGACAAAAAATGTGATAAAAATCTTTTTTTTAAAAGACAGATATCAGCGTATAAATCTGATACTAATCTGTAATAAGTCATTTCACAGCATTGCATAACGCATAATGAAAGGGAAGATAAGGGAATGGAGTGAAAGTAACACTAAGTTGTGTAAGAAAAAGATGCATAAGGTACACACATATGTAACCTAATACTTCAGATGAAAATAAACTGACTAACTATCTGACTGGTTTCAGCATAGAACTTTGCACTGACATGCAGCAGTTCAAGTCGCCACATTTCACGTAGCACACAAAGCAAGAGAAGAAAGTAAAAAGAAATGCATAGTGGAGACAGTAAACAGAGATATGAGACGAAAAGAATAGTAATGTCGAAGAACAATATAATTTTATTGGATATTATAAGTGACATGGAGTGGATGCATCTGCGTCAGCTATTGAGAACGACTTTAAGCCATATCACCAATTGTCTCCAACCATCAGTGTTTACTGTCCCGAAGATTCCAACCAGACAGCAGTGTACACCTTTCTACGTGACTGTCTTAAACTAACTGTTGTGGATTTCATTGAGTGATGAAGCCATGTTTCGCTTTGACCATCACTAGCTCTTCTTCAAGCTGATGTATCCTACGTCAACTAACATTTCCCGTTGAGGAAGACGATGGCTAGGCTACCATGCGTAATACATGTCCTAACCATCTCAGTCAATGTAATTTCACAGCCTCGTCGATTGATTTCCCCTCCTTACGTAACACTTGACTGACGTCCAAACTCAATATTGCTCACCTTATTATACTACTTCACACAGAAGATAGAATGTAGGCACATATGATCAAAGGTCGCTAGCCTTTTCATGTCTTCCACTCTCAATGGCCAGGTCTCACAGACATAAAGGAGGATGGAGCAGACTGCTGAGCAGTACACATGCCCTTTGGTCGGTAGGCGAATAACACGTTTACGCCAGAGACGGTGTGAACTGTCATATGCAAAACGAGCCTTCTTTATCCGTGCAGAGATTTCGTCAGCGACCAACCCATTGGCGTCGGCTGATGCAACTTCCCAAATAAGTGCGGTGGTCAATACTCTCTACCACTTCACTCCCTATTTCTAAGCTAGGAGGTTGATGTAGTCCAGTCAGTCCTGTAGCATCATCTTACATTTGGTGGGAGCGACTTGCATGCCAAACATTTGCAGATTGCAGCTCAAGGTGTTCAGAAGACTCTGTATCTTGTCAGCGTCTTCACCTAGGAGGGGGGACTATATCATCGGCATATTCTAAGTCAACGAGATTATACCCTGGTTACACGGTTATAAGATAGTAGAGGAGTTTTGTAGGTTGGGTGGATGATGTTGGTGCGATTGAGTTCTCTAAGCTGGGTGAATCCATTGCAAAACTTTCATTACCTTTCGAGACAACATGTTCAGTGTAAACTTTAATATGAAATGAACTTTTTTGAACTTTTCATGAATTATATAATTGTATCTTCTAGCAACAACCGTTGTTGGGATTAGTTGGTAACTTACATCAGCAATTATCGTTTCTGTTGACTTGGAATTTGACCTATTTTGTCATTTAGCTCATTCTTTATTAGTAGTTGGTAAATTTGATCTGTAGTCATGCGGCTGTCAATCGCTGATTCAAATGAGTACCAACCAGGCTTTCCCTGGAATTTTCAGTTCTTCCACTGATTAATACTGCTACATCTTCCCAATCAAATTGGTGTCCATAGTTATCTACATGTAAAGATAGGAAACGATACATATTGTATGCATTTCGACAGCTAATTCATTTGTGTTCTTGGATTCGGAGCGGAATATAGTGTTTATCGCAGTTCATTTAATTTATTTTATAAATGGTGTTGATCTTGTCTTCTTTTGCTGTTGGGTCTTTTGGTCTGCATAGTATTGTGTGAAGTAATTGTGCTGGTTTGTGTGCTATATCTATTCTGAATGGTTTTAGTATTCTAGCCCACATTTTTCATAGGATAAATTTTCTTGTGCTTTCTTAGGGATGACTTCTTACTGGTAGTTTGATTCGAGTTTAAACACTTTTGATGTAATTGTAGGCATATCCATTTTTCTTGAAGGCAGTTAATAAATATTTCTGTTTTATCCTTCTCAGGACTGAAGTATTGCTGTGTGTTTCAGCTCTTCTGAGCAATGTTTGTACAAAGTTTCTTTTGTATGCTGTTGGGTTACTCCTGTTGTAGTTGTCGAGTATTTTGCCTGTTGATCTCGTATGCAGTACTAGGCTATGTGATACACTTCTTTTCTGATGATGCTACCGAGTTTATCGGAATAAAGTAAGCGAAGCCGAATTCGAACCCAGGACTCAATGACTGGAAGTTGAATGCTTCGATCAATGAGCCACATCTCCACTTTCATAAATATATTATGCATAAATAAACTGTGAAATAGACTTCAAAAGTAGTCATTGCTCTTTATAATCTTGTTAAAATAGTAATATGTCAGTCATAGGTAGTAAAGAATATCTAACTTGTATAAAAGACAGATTTTACACAAATAGCGCCAAAAATGTTTACTAGAAGAATAAGAAGATAAAGCATTTCGGAAAATGTAGCGGACTTTGAAGGGAAGGTTATCAATCGAACAATTTATACTTCATCATAATTACTCACTTGAACTAAATCGAATACAACGCGAACAGTGGCAATAAGCGAACCATATGCTATCGTTTATTCCCCGCTCCCTCCCCGAGCATGCGTTAGTCAATATATATATATATATATATATATATCATATAACCGTGTGTCGGTGGCATAGTGGTTAGGACGCTCGCCGACCATGCACATGGTCCGAGGTTCGATCCCCGGCCGACGCACTCCTTTACCTCGCTAAGCCAGAAATAATGCTGGTGAAGAGGAAAGGTTGGGCATGAGGCTAGCAACCCCATCCTGTAAAATAAGCACTGCTACAGAAACTTCAAGCCACTATATAGATATATATATATATATATATATATATATAACCAAAAACAAAGACTGAAAAATTGACTTACTCTTGTGATAAGGATTTTCCACCAACTGGCAGACTTTTACTACGATCTGATGCATCTGAAGTGAAGTGTGTCTGTTCAACAGATTGTAATTTTGTACTTTGTATAACTTGATTATTACTATTATTATTATTATTATTACTATTATTAAGAACTTTATATCGATCACGAAGTAATTGCATCATTAATAATTCATTAATAACTTTAACCCATGTATCTCTAGTAGACGGATCAGAGGATTGAAATATAAAAGTGACTGCACGCTTAGCTGTCCACACAGCGAATCGTCGACGATCTCCATGAAAATGTGGAGTTAGTCCAATTTTAGAAAGCTTCAAAAAGCAAATAATAACAGAAAAATTCATAAAAATAAAGTTTACTACTATGTTGACAAAGCTATTATTATTACTATCATTAATAAAGCTCAAAACTCCTGTTACGAACATGAAACAACAGGGCTTCAAATAAGTCAGCTAAGTATTAAGTTTAACACGATATGAAGATATAGGAAGGTGAAGGAAACATGGGGTTTGAATAAAAAGGCTTCCCCACCCCTTAAAATATTTGTTTTATTAAAACTACTCTGTAACTATTTAACAAGCTTACTTTTCTTCTGCTGTCTTTTATTATTGTCTTTTTGGTAGAAAGATAACATTAACTTTTATATCTGTAAAATACGCTATTTAAGTTTTCAGATTCCAGTTGGTTTTGTTGAATATCAGTAATTCGTCTAATTCTAGTTTTTCAAAAGCCATAAAGTTAATATACAAGGAATTCAGTAAAGATTTCCTGGTGTTCACACAATAAGCAGCACAATAGGTGATTCCATTTAAAGAATAAACGGAGAATTTATTACTTAATTCAATTTTAGATTTTCCGGTTGATTGATTGGACTGAAGTGCTCGGTCTCAGGTTGACATGTCGGCTTCTTATGCAGATGCTTCGACGATGTCTGAGCATGTAATTCGAAGTTAATTGGTTGATGGTGACTAGCAGTGGAATGCAAGTACATCCAGTTGACGAGTTCCAAATAGGACGAAATGCGTATCCTGGATTCCACTGCTAGTCACTGTCCACCAATTAACTTCGAAGAGTTTATTAATTTGGACAGTCTCTGGGATGCTTGTTAAACGTAAGAATCTAATACGGCTGACAATATATAATATTTTGTTAAGTTATTCAATTATTCAAATATACTGGAATGATTGTGTAATATTTCCAACACTCTCAGTAAACGATGATAATATCTACACGCTTTCAAACATTTGATATGAGACAAAAGAATAGATAAATCATTTGATTTCATTTAATTTTAAATTTCCTGTTGGTTGATTACTTTGCACCGAAATGTTCCGGTCACCGTTGATATGCCGTCTCCTCCTAGTACGGAGGCTTTGACGATGTCTGAAGACGATAGCTAGCAGTGAAATCCAGGATATGTACTTCGGCCTATTTGGGAACTGTTACTTGAGTATACCTGCATTCCCCCATGGGATGATAGTGTCCCCGCTGAGCCTCGAACCCAGCACCAATCACTCCAAACGCCGAAGAGTTACCCACTAGACCCATACAAGAGGATGCGCTTGTAACCCAAGTGTGGTCTAGTGTATAACGCTTCTGTGTTTGAAACGATGGGCGCTGGGGTTCGAGACTCGACGGGGAAACCATCACTCAACGGGAATGCTGACGAGTCTCAAACAAGATAAAATGCACATCCTGGATCCCATTAGTAGTCACCAGCCACCAAATAATAGACAAATCATTTCAATAAGAATGAAATAAACGCTATTAACGACTACAAATAATATAAACTCACCTCTAGTTCTTGTTTAATTTCATAAAATGGACCATTAGTGTGTACTGCTGTTGAATTCGACACTAGATTATTACTTATGCTACTATTGTTATTACTATTATTCCCACTGTTTGAGGTAAATGACTTAGTGAATGCTAATAAATTTGATGCTGTACCACCCATTGTTGAATTGTTCGATTGATTCTGTGTATTATAAGCATTGATTGTTGACTTTTCATAAGAATCAAGAGAATAATCTTTTGATAAATGAGCAGTTGTTGAATTTGAATAAGTTAACATTGGTATAGGTGAACTGGCTGATGTACGATATTTAGTTAGGAGGATAGCATTAGTAAACAAAAAGACATGACGTTGTTTACTAGACATGAATCGGACATCATCACGTGATACAGTGAAATCACCTTCCAATAAAAATTGGCCTAATTCAGATGGACGAACCTTTTTATTTAATGGAATAAAGTAGTAAATTACAGAAATATTCATATTAGTAAATTACACAAGAAATTTGACTAATATATAATTGCTGTTATTAATAGTTACTGCAAAATACACTCAGTGGTAATGACTGTGAACGGCATTGAATATGATCACTCTGAACTGCGAATGAAATCATGTTTAGTCTTTGAACATTCAGTCAGAACATACCTACAATCTTATGGGATATAAAACTAGTGACAACCATGTATTGAATACCAAAAAGCCTACTGTCTAGATAGGATAATTTACACTAAGTGTGAAAAGATATTCTGACTGACTGACTAACTCAATGAATTTCTGCATAAAACTTTGCACAGGAGTGAATTAGTTCAATCTGCCACTCTCCATGTAGAAAAACAAAAAGAAACCCAAAAGGGCTATAACGAGCAGAAATGTACCGGTGAAAGGATAATTACTTGTGAAAAATAATGAGGATTTAATAGATATGGGGTAAGGCTAAAAAGAGTAAATGGATCTGTGCCATTGGGAACAGTTTTAAGCCTCCCTATGAAGTTCAAAACAACAGTCAAGGTCTTCATAGATTGATCACCCTTAACACTACTCAACGAGAAATACGGTGACTCAGCATGTGTAACACGTATCCTAGCCGCCTGAATCGTCACAGTTTCACAACCACATCGATTGACTTTCACTTCGTTACCTGGCAATCTACGTTTAACCTCGATATTATTCAATATATTGCAACAATTAACACAGCAGATAGAACGCGAACATCTGTGGTTAAAGACAACTAACCTTTCCATATCATCCGCCTCAATGACCATATCTTACAGTCATAAAGAAGGATAGAGAGAACTGCTGAGCAGTAAACACATCCTTTGATCAGTGTTCAGCGATTCTGGATTCGTCATCTCCATACTTAGTTTAGGAAATGAATAATCAAATCACCACCAATAGTTAGTTTCGTGTAACTTCCCTTTAAAATTCCAATCACGAGGATGAATAATTTACTTTGATTGGACATTAGTAACTAGTGTAATGTGTCTAGTCCTTACTTTGGTGCAGACTGAATTCTATCAGCTCAGTGGTAGCGTCTCTGAATGCAACATTAGGTGACACGGGTTCAAATCTCAGAAGGACACGAGTTTCTTCAACATTGCAGATACACCTTGCTGACTGGTGGGTGCCAACCAGCACGAAACCTAGGTCGAAGGCTTCCTACCGACTGCCTCCAACCATCTTATATCATCAAATGAATAATTTACCTAAACTTCTATTGTCTTTTATTGAAACATAGTCAGATATTGCTAAGACGAAAGACTTCACTGTACCGGATTTATGAGACTATATATGCAGTTGTCTTTTAAACAGAATGAAAAGCTACATACTCTTAATTCTACCTAATCATAACTGTGTTGTCGGAGACTAAAAGTTCCTCCAACCACTAATTTTTGAGGCAGAAGCTTTCGTAACCTTCCATTTCCGATCTTATACAACCAATCGAATTAGGTACTAGTTTTTTTATTCCTTTGAGTTCCCAGTGGAATTTAGGGCCTCAAGCTAGAGGCTTGAAGTTTCTGTAGCAGTTGTGTTTATTTTTACAGGATGGAATTGCTAGCTTCATGTCCAACCTTCTCTGTTTACCAGTCTTATTACTGGCTTAGCTAGGTAAAGGAGTGCATCGGCCGGGAATCGAACCCCAGACCACACGCGTGGTCGGTGAGAATTCTATCGCTGCGCCACCAACACACAGATATTAGTAGCATGTATATATATATATATATATATTATATATAATCTCTTTTATCTTACAAAGCCTATTGTTCTCACCGGCACGTGCCAGTCTTATCTTCTAATTTTCCCTTAAGGCTAAATGCAGCAAAAGGTATCTGATAGAGAACAATAGACTTCTCTATTGTATTCAGTATTGAACCCCGCTTACAAAATCCCAACATTATTATCACATAAGAAATATGACACGCTATCAGTTATTTCAATAAAAAAACCAAAAGAATTCTATCATGAATACAACTTACTGATAATCCCCGAAGTTGCATAGCAACATTCACTGTTTCACATAATTCTGAAGCGGTTTTATGTGCAATTTGTAGATCAGCGCTGAAAATTATCAAATAGGGAGAGAGAAAGAGAGAGAAAAGAAATCAGAGTGAAATATGTAAAATCACAAGATGGACTTTGCTGTCAGGATGAACTAAAAAAGGAAAAATAAGATAAGAAATGTAGACATTAAACAACTTCAAATTGAAGTATGCGCTGAAGATGTTGGCCTAGCAGGGCAATGAAAGCTTCGCAAGTAAACCATCCAGCTCAGAGAACACAACTACATCAGAATTATCCACCTGAGCTAAAAATCTTCTCCAAAATATCCTAGTTGATTTATTATGCAGAATTGTCATTGTAGTTAATGATTCATTTACAAAGATTACTGAATACCCGAATGCTGTACGATTTCACAAATAAATATTGCGTAAATGCTGAATAATCAACGTGCTGATTATTCTTATAATCCACTGGGTATCTGCAATCTATTGTGTATGTGAATTGATCTAGTTGAGTTACAAAAGGATACTGACATTCCATCCTGTAGTCATTTCACAATCATTTATTTATTGACTTGTGGACATTTAAAGTTAAAGTCAACTATAGACAACGTTTCACATGAAGGTTATATAGGAATTTCTAGTCATATGCAAGTGTTAACTATACTCTTGAAGTTATAAATCCATCATGTGAACCGTGTTATGCAGATTACTCATCTTTTAAATGATGTCGGTAGAGAAAAATAACTCGTTTACTTATTTATTTTTCTAAAAAAAACGCTAACATCGTGTAGCACAGACACTAAGAAATGCGCTCCGACAAATTTATATACACGTAGTAAATAACAAATAGAGCCATATACGCGGGCAAACCGAATGAATACAAATTTTACGAACCCCTAACAAACAAAATATTATTGAAAGTAGGAATCATAGGCTACATGAGATATTGCTCAGTGACTTATGCTGACTGGTTTCAGCATTGAACTTTGCACAGATGAGTAGCAGTTCGAGTTGTCACTTTTCATGTAACGCACAAAGCAAGAGAAGAGAGTAAAGAAAGATTCAAAAGAGATAATGAAGAGAAGTGTGAGGCAAAAAGAATAGCACTATGGAAGAACAATAGGATCTTATTGGATATCATAAATCACAAACAGTGAATGCATTTGCGCTATTCGTATTGAGCCGTATCACCAATTGTCTCCAACCTTTATTGGTTTTTACCATCCCGAGGATTCCAGCCAAGCAGTCGAGGTACACCACGCTACGTGGCTCACTGACTTAAACTAACTAGTATGGATTTCATTGACTAATGGCATGTTTTGGTTTGAACACCACTGGCTAGCTCTTTTCCAAGCTGATCCTATTCAGTCAGCTGACATTGACTGTCGAGGAAATCGATGACTAGGCACGCGCGCAACATATGTCCTAAGCACCTCAATCCATGTAACTTCACAACCTCATCGATTGATTTCCCCTCCCACCCACCTAGCTCACGACGCCTAACCTCAATGTTTCTCACCCTATTATACCACTTCACAGAGGAGATAGAACGCAGACACCTATGTCTTCAACTCTCAATGGTCGTGTCTCACAGCCATAAAGGATGACGGAGCGGACTGCTGAGCAGTACACGAGCCGTTCGGTCGATAGCCGGACATCACATCTACACCAAAGGTGGTGTAAGTTGGCTTAAGCAATCGGTTCAATCGATAGGTGAGAGGATTGAGTCCCGTTTCAATTATTTCCATTTGGGCATCTAGGTAGTGTCATCAGTTTTTACGTGGTAAATGTGACTCTTAGCTTGGTGTACATGAGAAATCTATCCTGAGTAACAGAGATTAAACAAACAATAAACTAAGTAAAGAGTATACGCTTGAAATAGATGTGTCTAGTGATCCACAACTTACAGCAGTTCTCTAGATAGTATTCGTTTGTGACGAATTCTGCCTTAAAATCAACCAAATCCTCATAGATCTCAAAATGTAATCTAAAATATCTGTGAACACCTTATTACCATTCTTTTCAGTTATCCCTTGTAAGTCTGTATGCAACCAACAAAAGTTTTCAAGTTTGATTACGAAGTGACATCAGTTAAAGAACAACTTAAAAAACCGTGGAGTACTGGACAGATGTTCAGTTTCAGTAGTCATAACTCCACCCCACAGATCGAAGCCAGGACCTTCATGTTACGAGGCGAGTTCACTTTGACCATCAAGTCATCAGGACAAAATCTAATGGCCAAATAATTCTAATTTCTGTCAATATATAATATCATTACTTTACAAACGAAATTACAGTTAGATGAAATTCAAGCTTTATCACGTTGATATACATCCTTATACAATGATATCTGGTTACAAGATTTCATCATGAGCTAACATTAGTTAGAGAACCATTGGAAAACCTGGGAGTACTGGACAGCTGTTTCGTCCTAGTTTGGGATTCTTCAGCAGTACGCACCCACTGGAGTTGGAACCCAGGACCTCCTGGTTACAAGGCGAGCTCGTAGAGCATTCAGCCACTGGGACCCGATCCAATGTCTCAAGAATTCTAACTTTTGCCAATTCACGATATAGCGCAACCGCTAGCCAATGTTAGTTACCAACGTGAATTACTGCTGGTTAGCTTTTTATCGGAGTACATGTTAACAAATATTGAGTTTTGAGCCGCAAAAGTGATAAGCAGTTACAATTAGAAAAAAGAAACTATTATCTAACAAATAGTATCAGAAACTTACCGATCACATTCATTTGTTTCATGTTTCACAAGTCTATCTAACAATAAATGATAACGTTGAAAACGTTGTACAGGTGTAACAAGACGAGAACTGAATAATAACAATGGCCGAGTTAATTCATTCGATGATTGTACTGCATCTTGATTGTTCATTTTAGCTGTCAACATTTCTCTACGATATATCTCTTCATTGCATGCTGTTATCCAAGGGGAGTAAACACGATCTTTTTCAAGTGTAACACTCAATTGAACTGCACATTCATGAAGTGAACAATAAACAGTATATAAGTCGACAAGACGTGGGACCTACAGATAAACATTTAAGATTTATGCATATATCAATAAGAAGAAGACACTATTTATTAAGGGGAAGAAAAGCAACTGCATTTCAATGTTTGTTTTTTTTTCATTTTAAATTATCGCCACTAATAAATCTATCGTGCAAATATTGAAGAATCACCGTGATTGAGTACAATTCCACCACAGCTGTTTATAACTTAACAATTTAAAGTAATGATTGAGTTAGACTTATAAACTTAAACACAATACACACCGTTCAAACTGAGCAACAGCTCTACACAACACTGTTGTCATAAGCAAGTTAAATATATCACATAATAAAGCCCGAGTCAAGCTAAATAAAGAAAGCCTCTACTCCCTTTATCGTCGACGAGTTGAAGGGAACAGTGAAAACTAATCATGAATATTTTGACATAGTGGCGATACTGACACAGTTTACAAAAGGTAAAGAATAGATAGGCAGAGAAAGAAAGAAATCTCTACAGAATTGCACCAGCTCCACTTATTCCACATTCATAGATAAAAGAAACTAGTTGGAGTAAACGTGTTTTAAAACTAACCTCTGGTTTTTAATTGGTGGATGGTGACTAGCAGTGGAACCCAGGATGCGCATTTCGTCCTATTTGGGACTCGTCATCTAGATGTACCTGCATTTCTCAGTGAACGCTGATGTTCCCACCGAGGCTCGAACCCAGTGCCCATAGTTTCAAACGCCAAAGCGTTATCCACTAGACCACTTGAGAAATGCAGGTACATCCAGATGACGAGTACCAAATCGGACGAAATGCGCATCCTGGATTCCACTGCTAGTCACCATCCACCAATTAAATACTAATTAAATGCCAAGACATCGTAGAAGCATCTGCACAAGGAGCCGACATGTCAACCTGAGACCGAGCACTTCGGTTCAATCAATCGACGGGAAAATCTAAAATTCAATTAAGCCTCTAGTATTACCTATTCTCATTTTGCCTTTTTAGTTAGTTTTACATAATAAAGTTTCGATGTATGCTTCAAAAAGCATTATAACAAAATGCTCATTACTTAGAATTTAAATTAGGGCCAAATTTTTAAAACCTTTTTTTTAATATATGCTAATGTTGGAAAATTTACATACGGTAATATTATTAGGTTAGTATTTTATCGGAAACGAAATTAACAACAGAGTATATAAATGATAAATATAGGATTAAAGAGTGATATATGTATGTATATTTCAATTTTCACTACGAGTTGATATCAGTTAGAGAACCACTGAAAACCAGGGAGTACTGGACTGCTGTTTCGTCATACTTCGGGACTCATCGAGACTATGCACTCAGCGCCTCTCAGTTACAAAGCAGACTTTGTAGAAAATTCAGCTAATGAAACCCAACTCAGTGACCAATGAATTCTAACTTCTATCAATCTGTGATTTTAGCTACAGGACGACGTTTCCTGGAGTTCTAGTGAGAAGTCGTGATCAGTGGGGTCCACCTGGTCGGGAATGAGGACAAATGCTCACCGATGAAATTGACTGGTTGTAGCGTTAATATCACGAATTTGTAGAAATTAGAATTCATGGACCAATGGGTCGGGTTCCAGTGACTGAATGATCTACAAACTTACCTTGTAACCAGAAGGTGATGAGCGCGTACTGATGAAGAGCGTCAAAGTAGGACGAAACAGCAGTTCACTAATCCCTGATGGTTTTCAATGGTTGTCGAACTGATATCCATCCGTGGTCAAAACTGAAATAAATCAAATCCCCACAAACCAACTCTTGAATATATGTATATAGCTTTTGACATAGTATGCCATACCTTGTAAAAAACTAACCATTAACACAGTATGCCAATAGTGTGTTAATTAGTTCCATAATCATATTGCATATTTGGTCTATAGATCGAGAAAACTTGCAGCTACACACGTACGCTCGGCAACCGGTAAGCATACTTTCTGATATATATATATATATACATATATATATATATATATCATATAAAGGATTTGTTGTGATTAGAATACCATTTATTTAAGAAATCAGACATACTTTAAATAAAATACGTGTCAAAATAAAAGTCTATACAGACAAAAGAATCCACTGGTAACATTTACGCTAACAGAAGAGCCTGATGATGGTGATGATGATAGGAAAATGAAAATGAAGAGGGTAGTATTTGCATAAACGAAAACACATACCATAAGAAATACCCAAGCTTTAATTTTTTCTGCATTGCCATCACACGCCTCCAAATGTGGTAGTAAAGAACTAAAAAACCAAAAAAAGAAATGTTAGCAATAAGTAATAAACGAAAATCTCTGTAGAAAAATAACAGATTAAAGTAAAGGCAAACACAATAAACGTATGAATCAGCTGAGAGATTATGTCAAAGATCAGACAATAGTGAGATTGTAACGAGAGAAGACAAGGGCTAGGTAACAGATCATTTATCGAGAAAATCAAGAAATATTTATAGATTTTTATGTACATTATTGTCAGTGGAGAAGCAACGTCTTCTGACTGGTTGTTTTCTTGCTGAAGGTTATTCTGTACTGCTTTCGACCGTTTCTTAGAAAGTTAAGCCATATATCTGCAAATCGTATTTGTACACGTTAAGTCTGCTATGATTGGTTGCTGAGATCTTCACGGTTAAGGTTTGTTACTGTTTTTTTCTCTTGACCCTGATTCGGGACGTAACATTGATGTAAATTGCTGCCTACAATTTTTGGCTTGCAGCTAACTCTCACCACAAGATGATACAGGATTGTCGATCATTCTATGAAGATTTATAAAGTACCCAAAGTGTGGAATTCATATTCATCATCCCATGGCCTACGTGGATGGCGACAACATAAACGAACTTCACTCTCCATAAATTTAATTTATTATTAGCGATATGGTTTTACAACTTTTCGAATGATTCTGCTTAAAAATTAAATCTCCCTAGTGTTTTGGTTACAGGATTTCATCATGAGCTGGACAGCTCTCTCGTCCTAGTTTGGGACTCTTCATCAGTACGCACCCACACAGCGGGGTTCCAACCCAGGACCAGGACCTTCCAGTTACAACGTGACCTTGTAGGCCATTCAGCCACTGAGACCAGATCTAATGGCCAGCCCATGAATTCTAACTTCTGCCAATTCACGATATCGCGCAACCACTAGCCAAATACTTAAACTCCCTAGTTTTTCTTACACTTTATACCTACTATTTTTATGAAAACGCAAAAATTGACAGTAACACTTCATAATAAAACAGGAAACAATTCAGACTTTTGATATTATAATGTAGAGTGAGAAATAGATTGTCTAATAAATGAATTATACAAATCAGTGACACTGAGGGTAAATAAGAAAAGTCCAACCTGTTATCGCTTTCCTACAAAAGATGAAGAAAACACTGTTACAGACTTACTCTTTATGAAAACGAAGTATCTCTGGCCAGTTACAAAGCAGACGATTTTGATTATCACGCATAAATGTTGGCTGGGGATAAGAACGATATCCTGACTCACAATTGACATCATTATCCACGGAATTTAACCAGACCACCTAGATAAGGGTGAAATAGCAACACATTAAAATAAAATATGTATAGCATCGAAGATAATTTCAAACTATCACCATTATCTTAATTATCAGCGTTGTTGGAGATTGTCTGTATAGTCACAGAAGTAGGATTATCGACAAGACTGCATATTGCCACTACACATTACTAGAAGGGTGAAGGTTACCCTGTATGTATGAGATGAATTTAATTACCTCTGAAGACAATATTTTGTAGTGTGTACTACTAGCGTGTGTTAACATCAAAAAAGAATGTGAATGAGTCACTGGATCTGTAGATATTTAGCCTTTATATCAAGAATTGAAAATCACCTGAAGAACCACTGAAAACCAGAGAGCACTAAATTTATGACTCATTAATAAAGACCACATACGGTCTCAGGAGGGACAAAATCCCAAGACTATTACATTTCGACGCTAGCATGTCACTATTCAAACACCAAGCTGCAAGAATCGTAAAAAGAAAGCCATGAAACGCACTAAATTCAATGAGAAGACTGTTTTTTGTGGTTTTTTCCTTCACGTTCCCCAGTGGAACATAGGGCTTCAAGCTAGTGGCTTGAAGTTTCTGTAGCAGTGGTGTTTATTTTTACAGGATAGGGTTGCTAGCCTCATGCCCAACCTTTCCTCTTTACCAGCATTATTTCTGGCTTAGCGAGGTAAAGGAGTGCGTCGGCCGGGGATCGAACCCCGGACCATGTGCATCGTCGGCGAGCGTCCTAACCGCTGTGCCACCGACGCACAAATGAGAAGACTGTGCCGAGACCAAATGTTCATCAATTACACTATATGCTTTATAACAGTGTTATCCTTTTCAGTGACTTTACAAATTACTTAAGAGCCCTCTTCGTCAGTTAACTCTTACTCCTAGGAAACGATGTTGGATATTAAAGGTTAGTCGATAAGATGCATCAGAACTCACCTTCACATATATTGGAAGTCATCACAACAAAAGAAGTACATCGGTTGTCTTGAAGAAATTCCTACTCCCTGTGGAACTGGAACATAGGTGTAGGACACCCAACCGTCTGACAATGAACTACTTAATTAACAGATTTGAACCGATATCAAGAAGTAACTAATCCATGAGTAGTACAACGTAGTTGCCAGTTTGACAATGTGCATATGTTAAGCAGAACACTAAGTGATGGAAATTTCTACTAGAAAGAACATAACTTTTAGATATGTTGTCACAATGTCAAGAAATGTTAGTGAAATGCCCCTGAGTAGATTGCTAGTCTACTGATTAATTGATTGTTGTGGCATATTACACCATATAATGCGCATAGTAAGAGAGACACACATACACACACACACAAGCGACATAGTACACCAGTACTCAAAAGCCCATACACACGCACACACAAGCAAATGTATACTTGCAAACGTAAATACTTCTTTTAGAAAGTAAATATTTTACGTGAAAATCAATAAATTTGATCTCTTCACACGATTGATCTCAGATACTACACAAATCATGACTTTCATTGATTCTACTACTGTAATTATTAAAAACGGTATGATATTGTTATGTCCTATAGAAAAATAAATAATTGTGTAACAATTTGCTATCCAGTAGAATGTAAAAAAAAACAAAATATCTCTTTGACGAAGCTTTTTCACCAAAATTTTGTTTGAACTGATGTACACACGCACACTCACACGCATACATGTATGCACATCAAAAAATTACAATTTGACCGTAACAGCTAACGTACATATATGTGTATATAGAGCTTAAAGTTCAGTAGGTCGTATTACTGCAGTATTCTAAGAAATTCAGAAGCAAAATATAGAAAAATGTGCCAAAAAACCCTCACCCAAATAAATAATGTAATTGAAGCATTGTACACATACACGCACACACACTCACACCACTACTAGGTAATAACATATACGTTTATAAATATATAGAGAGAGACAGAAAATCAAGGATAAACCGATAATGACGCTTGAAAATACAGGGATTGCATGATAAACAAATACATGGATTCATTCACTAGTTCACCCCATTTATATATACATATTTATATATATACAAATTATCGAAAACAACATTGAAACAATTCAACCAGTAGCCAATTACTGACATGTTAGAAAAATCCTCGCTTTTACTAGCCTGAATAATAAAAGTGTGTATAAGACGAAGAAAACAGTTAATTATGAGAGCTAAATGAACAGTCTCGTAAAAAATGAAGACAAATAAAAAAATTTTACTTTTAGGAAGTCGATAGATAGGGAAAGAAAAAGAGGGACACCTGTCAGTGAAAGACAAAGAGAATAAACAAAGGTTGACTACATAAACAGAATGTCCAGTCTATGAAGTTGTTGAATAGGCAGTGATTAGTGATGGAGTCAAGAACTCGCGTTATGTCGTAATTACTTTAAGGCAGTTTACTTCTTAGCGAGTGATGGTATTCCTGTTGGGAACTGGACTCAGAGCTCACATAGTCAAAAGCCAAAATGTTATTCAACAGGCTAACGAGTCACGGACAGGGTGAACTTTCATGTTACGTGCATCGTATATCTATTATTTATCCTATTGGTTCGAGTGGAACGTAGGGCTTCAAGAGAGAGCAGCTTTGAATTTTCAGTAGCAGTGGTTTTATTTTGACGGGTAGGGTCATTAGCCTAAAGCTCATATGTCCTATTTTGGCAGACTGATGATAAGATGGTAAAGATTTCATTAACAACAACGAAAGAAACCTGAAAAGTAGGATTTAACTAATTGCTACTGCTCTTACGCTACAATGTATATCTACTCTGGGGAAATATCTCGAAAGCAGATCAGTAGGACAGATTCTTTTCTCCAATTCGTTACCTTTTATGACAATAACGGTTTCATACTTTTGATCACTTCCAACCTTCAACGGTGACAACAAAATAAATACACACCTTGGGGGCAACAGTAAAGAATAGACACCAAGGCCGGATGACCTTGAATCAACCAATCAGATCGCTCAGCACTACAAATGGATGTTGTTCATAATCCTCCTTGCAAGTTTCATCCAGATTTGGTTTTTGACTGCTGTTTGGAAAAAGGATTGATAGGGGGGACGAATACATTTATACGTAAAGGGATAATGACTCTTCAAAAATATTGCCGAACTAATGGTGATTATGCATTCAGATGCAATCACTGTTATGTGAGGAAGTCTGTAAGAGTTGGTAAGTTGTGGTGACTTTCTTCTCGAAATCGAAACTCTGTTTTAGTGAAATATTGCAAATATGCCGCAATTAGCTACTGAGACAATCAGTATCTGCTACAGTGGGAGAAACGGGGAATACGAAAACGTCAACAGTGCAGTGGTATCAGCACTATTGGGATATTACTTTTGTACTTGGAGGAATTGGTGTCATCATTCATATTGACGAAATAGTACTTATTAAATACAAAAAAATGAATCGCGGCGGGAAAAAAGCAAACCGTGTTTGAGTGCTGGGACTGTACGATGCAAATCTTTCAAAAGGGTTAGTAGAAAGCGTCCCAAACAGAAGTACCGATGTTTTAATACCAATAAAACAACGACTAGTCCTCCCAAGCACTACCATACCATTCACACAGGCGAGTGGAAAGGTTATTCGCAACTATCATCACTAGGCTATATTCATCATAAAGCCAATCATTCTTCTGTATTGGGGGATCTTATAAGTGGAACCCATAGAACGATTCTGGGCCCATATGAAAAAACGTATCAGAAAGGTAAATGGTTCCCGAAATGATATGATATACAGCCACTTATAAATAAACTTCTTACACATTAAACGCCATTTTTCGCCTGGGAGAGCCTGATTGGTTGGTTCAGGGTCACTTGACCTCGGCGTCCATTGTTTACTGTTGCTCACCTTGGTTACTGTAGTGCAAAAGTTATCGTCATAACAAGGAGATATTAGTACCAAAAAATACACTATGAATGTTCAACTTACATCGTACACATGCTGTAAGAAATTGACATAAGATTTCTCTGTATCTACCAATTCTTTCCAGGCTAATTGATAACGTTTAGCCGGAGTTGATAATGAATTTGATGACCCCAGTCTTGGTAGCTGACATAATGAGGCTGAGTTTATACACTGACCTGAACTGTTTACCTTGTTATTGTTAAGTCCCTGGATAGTAAAAATAGTATTAATAAGATGAATTACAAGCGAATATTAATGTAAATTTGCACATGCAAGCAATAGAATTCCATATCTCATACATTAAAATATAACTGAGTAACTATGATCCGTTTTAAAAGTCTACGCAGTCAGAATATTGGTCATACAGATTTTGAGTAGCCTTAATGACTGACAGCTGCCCACTTCGTTGGCTCCATACTGAAGACTAAATGGCCAGTCCGCCAAAAAGAATTAGAAACAAGAAACTCTGTGGTGGAACAAACCAACCAAGAGCCGATCGTTAAACGAATGTGTAGGAGAAAGTGGAGATGGAATGGCCATACGCTAAGAAGGCTTTCGGATGACATCGTGTACCAGGCTATTGCTCGAGTGGGACCTGAATCGGAAACGACGAGTGGGTTGTCCAAGAGTGACATGGAGAAGATGAGAGATTATGGTCAACCGCGGACCCAGCTGAAGAGGACAGGAGAAAATGGAACAAAGTGGAGATGTGTTGTTGAAGCCCTATGTTCCATTCGGGACCCAAGGGAATAGTAACAATAATCCTCTTGTAGTAATATAGTGATCGAGGCCAGTCTGGAAACTAGCCATAGGTGGCTATGCACCTTTTGTCATTGTCTTCTCTCACGCCTACATCATTGGCTTCCTTCTGTAAATTTAGTGCGGCTGGTATTGAAATATACTTTTCGGCTCACATCGTAGTTTTGCTTAGGTAGAGCTGGCTGGGGAAAAGGCAGCTGTCGTATAGTGCTGTCGTTGAGACTAGCGATATTAGTGATCACCGCGTTCGTGTTTAATTTTGCGTCCCTTTTCGACTCAACGTATCACAAAATATAAAAGTGGTGACAACAAATAACACTTTCCTAAATTTGTTCTTGACACAAAACGAGAACTAAGCATTAGGCTAGTATGCTAAATATCCTAGAGGATAGAGCTTAGCCTAGTAAAACGAGTAGTATGACTGTCCTAAGTATACCAGTCTTTTTTAGATGAAAAAGTATATCAAGTTAGGCAGAAAAGACTATCATTTTACTGTTAACCAAGTAATTAATCTCCTTCAGAGTTTGACTTATGCAATAACATTATAACAATAAGATTCAACTGCACCGCATTTTCAACGCGTAGCTTTGGACAAAAGCGTAGTACTTTAAGCTGCTCCACGCCATATAATACACGTAAAGGCAGGAAAAAAGATATGCTAAGAATATATAATAAAGAGAAGTCTATCGGAGGAAGGATAAACACATGAAGAACAATGAGACTTTAATGAATCTGAGAGATCACAAAGGGTGAATGTATCCTCATCAATGAAAACGATATAAGAATAGAACTTGGCCACTGTTGTCCATCAGAGAATAAATTTGTTTGATAAAAGTACACAGTTCCACAGCATTATTTACGGATGACGTTACAAGCACAATTTTACTGTTCATAATCATATCAAGGCTTAAACCAACAGTTAAAGATATCATGGAATGATCATAGGTTTTAATATAACCACCCCTCACTTTTTTCAACCCAATTCTATGCCAGCGAATACTGTTCGACGAGGAAGGTGATGGTCTGGTATGTTCAACACATATTTTAGCCATCTCAATTGACGCAGCTTCACATCCTCATTGACTGAATGCCGCTTCTTAGAAAAGCTATAGAAGATATGTAGCTCAGGCGGATGATACTTCAAAATGAAGTGGGCGCTGAAGATGTTGACTAGGAAGACAATGAAGGCTTCGCAATTAAACCATCCAACTCAGAAAACACAAATACACCAACACTCTTTCTCGTCACTTGACACTATGTTTAACATGAACATTACTCACCGTAGTATACCACCTAACAAGTGATAAACAGTGAACACAGCTAACCACTCCGACCATAACAAAAATAAAAATTATGTTATTAGGATTTCACCATAAACTGACATCGGTTAGTGGACCATTGGAAAACCTGGGAGTACTGGACAGCTGTTTCATTCTAGTTTGGAACTCTTCATCAGTACACACCCAAAAGCGGGGCCCACCAAGTCAGGCAAGGGGACAGTTACTCTCCTGGTCTGCAAGCAGAAGGTCTTGGGCTTGAACCCCGGTGAGTTTGCACTACCAGCACTAGGATGAAATAGCTGTCCAGTACTCCCAGGTTTTCCAATGGTCCTCTAACCGATGTCAGTTCATTATGAAATCCTGAAACGAATCAAATCCCTGCAAACCAACATTTGAACTATGTTATTATCTTGGAATTCTGGTCTTATGATGTACGTTTAACCAAGGTATTTAGTAATAACCATAACTTAGAAAGATGTTTCAACGACTTTAGAATACTAATCAGATGACCAGTCTTTCAGGCGTCAAATTCTTTTTTGCCGAAAAAAGAAATATTTACATATGTCGAAGTCGGTCGATCGGTTTTCGACATAGAACTTTGCACATATGTGCGCCAGTTCAAGTCGCCACAATCTGTGTAGCACGCAAAGCAAGAGAAGGAAGTAGAAGAAATGCATAATATAGACAGTAAACAAAGGTGTGAGACAAAGGAATAGTAATAACGGAGAACAAAAGTTTAATTGGAAATCATAAGTCACAAGGAGTGGATGCATCTGCGCCACTGAGAACGATTTTGAGCCATGTCACCAATTGTTTCCAACCATTGGTTTTTACCATCCCGAGGGCCCCAACCAGGAAGTCTACATCTTCCTACGTGGCTTAAATTAACTGTTGTGGATTTCATTGATTGGTGCCATGTTTTGGTTTGACCGCCGCTAGCTCTTTTCCAGCCTGACCCTATATCAGCTAACATTGCCCGTCGAGGAAGGCGATAACTAGGCATACGTAGCACATGTCCTAACCATCTCAGTCGAAGTAATTTCACAGTCTCGTCGATTGATTTCCCCGCCTTACCTAGCACTCGACGCCTAACCTCAATATTGCTCACCTTATTATACCACTTCACGCGGGAGATAGAACGCAGACACCTATGATCGAAGACAGCTAATCTTTTCATGTCTCCTGCTCTCAATGGCCAGGTCTCACATCCATAAAGGAGGACGGAGCGGACTGTTGAGCAGCACACACACCCTTTGGTCGATAGTCGGATATCGCGTCTACGCCAGAGACGGCGAAAACTGGCGAATGCGAACCTAGCCCTCTGTATTCGTGCTGAAATTTCGTCGGAGATCAACCCGTTGGGGCTGATGGTATTTCCCAAGTAAGTGAAGCGGTCAACGTGTTCTACCACTTCACTTCCTATTTCTAATCTAGGGGTCGATGAAGTCCAATCCCGCAGCATCATCTTACATTTTATAGGGGCGAATCGCATGCCAAACATGCGGAGATTGTTGCTCAGGGTGTTCAGTAGACTCTGCATTTTGTCAGAGTCCTCGCCTAGAAGGACTATATCGTCCGCATATTCTAAGTCAACGAGATTATTCCCTGGTAGCAAGTCAATCCCTGAGTCGCTGAAGTGAGTTAGGGTTAAGTCCATTAGTACATCTATGATGAAATTGAATAGGAATGGGGATAACGGGCATCCTTGACGGACGCCACTAGTCGTCACCACTTCAGATGACAACTCGCCATAAGCCCTCACCTGGCTGCATGAGTACGAGTAGAGTGCCTTAATCAGTGCAATGTATTTTCTTGGCATTCCCTTTACAGCCAAGCATCGCCAGAGAACCTCTCGGTCGACAGAATCGAATGCCGCCTTTAGGTCAAGAAATATAATGATTGTCGGACGCCGGTAGGAATGCCTATGTTCTAGAATCTGTCGAAGGGTGAAGATGTGATCAATACACGCTCTACCTGGCCTAAAACCTGCCTGGTTTTCTCGTGTTTGTGTCTCCCGAGCACCACTTAATCTACGCAGTATTATTGAGCCTAGGATTTTAGATACTATATTAGTCAAGCTAATCCCTCTGTGATTATCACAAGACGACTTGTCCCCCTTCTTGTATATCGGGATGATCAGTGACTTACACCAACCCGATGGGACTTCCTCTGATTCCCAAACGCTGCCTAGAACCTCCGTTAACGCAGACAGTAAACTGTCGCCTCCGTACTTAAATACCTCTGGAGTCAATAAATCAGGTCCCGCTGCTTTGCCTAGCTTCAGATTGGTGACAGCTTTAGTAACCTCGGTTAAGGACGGAGGACCTGTGTCTATCTCCCATTCAGGGAGGTGTTGGATGTCCGGCAGGTTAACTGTGGCTGTGGGCCAATTAAACTGCTCCTCATAGTGTTCTTTCCAGCGCTCCAGACGTCTATCCTGGGAGCTAATTATGGTGCCATTTTTCTCGGAGATTGTTTCGCTTATCATTTGTTTTTTACCACCTGTTTCCCTGATAAGCCTGAATAGTTGTCTGGTGTTGCCTATCGCCGATGCTTTTTCCATCTCTTTCGCCTTTGTCAACCACCACTGTTCACGGTCCTTGCGGAGACTTTCCGTAAGTTTTTTTTTGTGCAGCTTTCGCTCCTCATTGAATTCGGAGCTCGCCGGAATAAGTCTTCTAGCATCTATCAGTTCGGATGAGGCAGTCGAAATCCAATGGTTTTTACTCACCTTTGGAATTACCTTATTCACAGCTTTTACAGCTGTATCTATGGCTGACTGAATATTCTTCCAGGCTTCTTCAGGGTGAGCGCAGCTGTCAAACTCAGATATGTGTTTAGCTAGTTCTTCCTCAAATAGGGACTTAGTTCCCTGGTCGAGCTGGGGACGTGATGGGTTTACCGCCAGCTGTTTCCTACGTCCGTTCAGTCGTAAGCACACACGAGCGCGGACCAGTGCGTGATCGGTATCTACACACGTGTTCCAGAAGGAGCGACAATCTCCTACCGACCCACGCCAACGATAGCTTATTGCTATGTGGTCTATTTGTGTCCAGCGTTGATTTGATGATGGGGGTCGCCAGGTCAAACAGTGTCTCTCCTTGTGTTTGAAGTTAGTGCTTACAAGATACAAATGATTATCTGAACAGAACTGTAGGAGACGGTCACCGTTGTCGGTTCGCTGGCATGGAATTCCGTATGTGCCACCAACATTCTTCTCAGATTGACACAATTTCCCTACTTGAGCATTAAAGTCACCAGCTAAAACGACTATATCTGAGCGTCTAGCCTTTCGCAGCAAACTAGAAAGCTTTTGGTAGAACTCATCCTTCGTTTCATCCGAACTGCAGTCAGTGGGGGCGTAGGCGGAGATTACGAAAAGGCATCGGCGAGTAGTGCAGTCCTTTCTCCTTTTCACTGATCCGTTCAGGCGGACAGCGCACATTCGGCTATCTACCGGGATCCAGTCAAGTAATGTCTTTTCTGCTCTAGTACTTAAAGCTATCCCAACACCAGCTAATCCTCGTGAGCTAGCCGTCGCATCTCCTGACACCCTCAAGGTGAATTTTGCAGATTCATCCTGTTGGCCAGGTGAGGTTAGGTGAATGACCACACTTGGGTCTTGTATGCGTGTTTCTGAAACACAACATACATCAATGGCTCGGGATGCCAGAGTCTTGGGTAGTGATGCTTGTTGTCCTATTTGGCAAAGTGTCCTAACATTAAATGCTCCTATATAAAATTGGTGGCGTGGTTTTAGGAGACAATCGGTGGTGGCTTTTTGGCTTCCATCGTTATCAGGGCACACAGAGTGAAGGGGAAGTGAAGAGCCAACAAGTAGAGGAGTTGCATTGGTAGAAGGAAGGCAAGATAATAGAGATGAAGATGAAGACAAAGATGAGCGAGGATTAGAGGGGTTTCGCGTGCACTTCGGATTGTGAGGGCGATTGTTACTTCCCGGCTGCCCACACCGTGGAAGTTGGTTGCGTGACCGCAGAGCCCAGGGGACAACTGCTTGAGGCCGGTCACACACGGCCTGTTTTTGTTTGTTCTTTTTTATTTGGTGTGTCTCAGTAGCGTATTTATCACTTCTGCCCTGTGACACGGCAGCAGAAAGCGCGGTCGTTGTTAATCCGGGCCCCGACCGATCCGGCATGATATTTTGAGATTTATTTGAAATCATAGGATTGGATTGGGTAACTGCTTTTAGTCTAACTGCTATCCAAACAACCTTTCTGGCATGGTAGGACCTGCAGGAACATAAGTTCCAGCCAGTATAGCTTGTTGGGTCATTGCAGTGTTCAAGCCCGACCACCACGTCAAGGTAGCAGCTTTCGGTCGAAGTCAGTATAAATAAAAGTGACAGAATAGAATCAAGTAGATATAACCCACCTCTGAAGATGATGATGATAATCGACCTGATTCATTAGCTTCTTGAACAGGTGAATTTCTTTCAGGACTAGTTATAGTACTATTATTACTACTGGCAAAAGATTGTGAATTAGGATGATTTCTTGGAAAACTTGTACGTGATATGTGTTGACGAATTGAAGCAATAGCAAGATTACAATTTTGAGCTAAATCCTCCACTTGTTTTAATAATTTACTTAGTTGAGTCTGAAAAATAAAGTTAGCATATGAATATTTTAAAAACAAATGAATTAAAAACAATTAAATTAAAGTAAGAAATTTCAAAAGCCTCTTCAAAATTTCATGAAATATGCATTTTGCAGTTGTTTCTGTTTGATGTTCATCTACTTTCAATAAATAATTAAGTTAATTGTATGGAGGATTTCATCATGAGCTGACATCAGTTAGAGAACCACTGGAAAACCTGGGAGTACTGGACAGCTGTTTCGTCCTAGTTTGGGACTCTTCAGCAGTACGCACCCACCGGGATTCGAACCCAGGACCTTCTGGTTACAAGGCGAGCTCGTAGACCATTGAGCCACTGTACTCCCAGGTTTTCCAGTGGTTCTCTAACTGATGTCAGCTCATGATGAAATCCTCCATACAATTAAACAAAATCCCTACCAAACCAATACTTGAAAATAATTAAGTATATTTTATCACCAGATTTCTCCGACAACGTAACTTGGTTGGAAGACAAGTGAAAACTAAAATGGCCATGGACAAATGTTCCGTCCTAGTTTCGAACTCTTTTGACAGTACAAACGCAAAACCTAAGCAGGTTACACATATTACTCAATCGCTTCTTTATAACTAACTACAAGGTAATCTCCGCTTAATTTCATCAACTATTTAGAGTTACAAAAGATGGTAGACGCGTTATATAGCAAAATGACAAGTCAAAATCCATGGGTCATAGAATTCCTGCTCAATCGCTGAGTGATAAATGTATTCGCGTCGTAACCTGAAAGTCCCGTGTTCGATTCTTGGTGGCATCGTGGGTGCGACCTATTGAAGAGTCATATAAAGAGGACAAAGTAACTATTCCATGCTCCATAGTTTCTAGCTGATATCGCTTTATGACGAAACCTACTTTGTAATGTTTTAATTTTGAGTTTCATGAATAAAATGTACTGAAACAAAATCTCCGGAGAGGATGCTAAGCAATTTTATTATCACTATGAATAACAGATCGTAGGACTGCAATTCGGATCAAAATATAAGGACAAAAAGTTTCCTCCCATTCGAGAAGTTAAATAAATAAAATTAGTAAGCCAGTTTGCGTCGGTGTTACAGCGGTAGAATGCTCGCCAATCAAGTTTGTGGTTCAGGGTTCGATCCCCAGCCGACGCACTCCATTACCTCGCTAAGCCAGTAATAACACTGTGCATGAGGCTAGCAACCCCACCTTGTAGAAATAAACACTACGGCTATCGAAAATTCAAAGCTCTAGCTTGAAGCCCTAAGTTCCACTGGGAACGTAAAGGAATAAAATTAATTAAAGTTAAACTAAGTCAGTACTGTTTAACGTGAATAAAAATGTTTGCTACAAAAACTGTTACCTGACCAAACAAAACGGTATACTTGAAGTACTACTTTTACTATCTAAAAACCAATTTCGGATTTCAATGCGTGAAAGCATGAGATACAAAACCATAACACAGAAGTACATAATATACTAATCCACTGAAAGTGCCCGTTAAAAAGTTAAAAGACTCATTATTGAACAAAGAATATTCTTTTCCACAAATTCGTCTTCAAGTTCTACATTTATATGACAGTAATAATTAAAGAAATCTTGTTATTAACAATATCAACGTTCTAAACTATACTAAATCGATATTTATATTGGTCGTTGCTCTAGAGGCACCCACCAATGTGGTAAAACAAAGGTGCTGTTAAAATCGTCAACCTATATTGGACCACCTCATGAAAACCGGTTATCGTTGAAGAATCTTCTTCAATCATCTACCGAGTGTCAAATAAATTACCAAAGGTCTCCAACTACCGAACACTTTAAGCAGCAGAGGACATTGCAATACGGTTAAATCAACTGGAGCCCTGAGTGCAAAAGAAGCAGGTCCAACTGCCACTAATGCTACCCTGACCTGCCGTCGAGCATAAATTCTGCGTTACTTCCCTTAATCTATCTGATATTTAGTTAGTGTTGTATTAATGCATGTAATCTCTTACTGATGCTTTCGAAATGTAATCTGTCAATACTAATGGATTGAATGTCATTTTAAGCATTAATGTTGTTGATAACAATATTACTATCATATAAATATAGAACCTAAAAGAATATTCTTTGTTCAATTAATGAGACTTTTAAATAGTTTTCTAACAACCTAGAACGGAACATTCATACTCGCCTTTAAATCAGCATCCAGTAATCCAGTTAATCGTGTATGAAATAATTTCGGATTTCCAAGTAATTCTAATCTTGTTTGACGTGAAGTAGTAAATGCAACCAATTCATCCATATGTGTTCGACACTCTGCTAAATCCATACCGGTGAGTTTCTCTGGTGGCGTCACTGTCTCTAATAAATGACGTCCTTCTTTAATCCATGATGCAGCCTAGATAAAATAAAGAAATTAATATCGTCTTATCGTGAAATTACCTGGAATGAATACAAATCATTGTGTGAAAGAATATCTGTGTAAATTCCTACCGCTTTTAAAGAACCATAACACTGCATGATAGAATGTAGATTAGCCTTGTGAATTCATATATGAAAGCTGAAGGGTTAATTATTCACCTCAATCTAATCCAGTAATGACGTGCTACAGAAAGGTGTGGATGCCACTAAAGATAAAACAGTAGCTAGAAGAGACGTTGAAATTTTTCAAATAATACAGAATGGGTATGTATATACGTGAATATGATTATTTTGTTTGAGTTTCTTTTTTTTTACTGTATCGATGACTGCATCGTTATATCATGCAGCGACATTGGCCATTAAAGTGTGCTTGACACAACGTAATGTGTGCCGGTGGTTTAGTGGTAGAATATTCTCCACTCACGCACGTGGTCCGACATTCAATTTCCGGCCGAGGTACTCCTTAACCTCACTTAGCGCCTCTAGAAAACTCGGTGGAGAAAGAAAGTTAGAGGTAAGGCTAACAACCCCACCCCGTAAGAAATAAACACCACTACTAATGAAAATTCAGAGCTAAAGCTTGAAGTCCTGTGTTCCCCTCGAAAAGCAAAGAATTAAAGCTTTTAAAAATACCTACTGTCGACCATTATTCTACTTTCAAATTTTGTATAATGTACAAAAGTGTAGTACAGAATAGAGCAGTTATCGTTGGGGAAAAGGATGATTGCAGTACTCAACAATAAGATTAATACGCTTGGGATTTTGTTCCACAGAAAAGTTACCTTTCATTCATTTTAATTCAGTATCATGAATGAATAGTAATTTAAAAATAGGCTTTGGTTAGAAGTAACATAGTAACATGGCAACAAATGAGAGTATGAGTAGCTGAGACAATGAAGTCACATCTAGATATGATGAAGAAGATTTGAAGCTCAGGTGGATGATTTTCATGTAGTTGTGTTCCTGAGCTGGAGGCTTTATTCCTGAAGCCTTCATCACTGCCTTACTAGGCAACATCTTTAGTGTATACTTCAATTTGAAGTGAGCGTTTAGATTTCTCCACGAGTTTATATTAGTCATCTCTCTTGGTTATCTTTGAATGCGAGTTGTTGTTTTCGTGTGTTTTCACACCCTCTAGGCGGCTACTTGTATTGGTACCGATTGTTTTCTTGACTTGAACTTTGACTCTGTGTGTCTGAGGTTTCCTTCTTATTCATTGGTAAATTTTGTCTATGTCAATGTGTCCATTAATTAACGACTCACTGGAATATCAGGCTTCTAAAAATCCTCTAGCATTTTTGGTGTTTCCTCAGTCTAATATTTGAACATTGGTCGTCCCAGTCGAATTGATGTCCGTGGTTGTTTGTATGCAACGATATGAGGGAGTGGATGTCATGTCTTTTGACAGCTAGTTTATGATCATGGATACGAATACGAAGACGGCGTCCACTTTGGCCAATGTAATGTTGTTCGCAGTCATTGCAACGACATCGTCTTCGCCAGAGAATTTTCGGAAGCGTGGTATTTCAGTGAATCGTCAGTCAACAGACACATTGACATAGACAAAATTTACCAATTGAGAAGAAGGAAATCGCGTACACAAAGCGTCAAACTTCAGGTCAAGGAAAAAATCAGTACCAACGCAAGTAGCCTAGAGGGTGTGAAAACACACGAAAACAACCAATTATGTTCATAGGTCACCAGGAGAGATGACTAATAAGCTCGTGGAGAAATCTAAAAGCTAACTTCAAATTGAAGTATGCGATGAAGATTTTGCCCAGTCAGGCAGTGATGAAAGCTTCGCAAATAAACCCTACAGCTTAGAGAACACAACTACATCGAAGTTACATCTATTCACTGTAGACATTAACATAATGAGCATTTTTCTGTTGTCGTCTTAAGTAGTTTTTGTCTGTCTGTCTTTTTCGACACAGAACTTTGTACCCATGTGCAGCAGTTCAAGCCGCCACACTCCATGTAGCACAGAAAGTAAGAGAAGAAAGTCGAAGAAATGCATAATAGAGAGAGTAGACAGGAATATGAGACAAAAGGAATAGTAATAATGAAGAACAATATAGTTTCATTAGGTATTATAAGTAACAAGGAGTGGATCCGTCTGCGCCATTGAGAACTTAATTAGTTTACAGTTCAGTTTACGAATATTTTGATAGCCTATTTTTTCCACATTTGAGAAAACAAACAAAAATGAAGAATATACAAGAACAAATAAGGAGTAAAAGATTACTTACATTATCAATTTCTGTATAAAGTTGTAATAACCGATTGATTTGATCAGCTGCCTTCGGTAGATCTGTACTAGCTAATTCAATCATACTTTTAAATAATATAGACCATTCTTTGATAGTGGAAGGAAATCTTACTGATGGAAAACGCTGTTTCATGCATTCATCAAGTTTTGTATTTAATGTGTAATCAGTGTCATGCAATGAATCCGGGTTAGACGATGCTGGTTCACTCATTTCCTCTTCTCTCGAGCATAAGGATAAACTAGAATTATGATTGAGATCAGTGTACTGATGACTGGTATTTATTGACAGTGTTGTTGGCATCTCTGAGCAAATATTATTTGGTATTAAATCAGCACTTAACAATCCGCTTACATCACAGAGGAATGAAGCTTTAGGAAATAAGACCATAGAGAAGATAAGCAACACTGTTAGAGTAATATACTTCATAAAGTTCATCAACAGTTATGTAAACACAAAATCTATATATAAATGAAAGTACACAAATTAACCCCTTGGAATGTTTTTTCCTTCATGTTCCCAGCGGAACATAGGGCCTCAAGCTATTGGCTTGAAGTTTCTGTAGCAATGTTTAATTTTTACAGGATAGGGTTGCTAGCCTGACGCCCAACCTTCCCTGTTTACCAGCATTATTTCTGGCTTAGCGAGATAAAGGAGTGCGTCGGCCGGGGATCGAACCTCGGACCATGTGCATGGTCGGCGAGTGTCCTAACCGCTATGCCACCGACGCACCTTGGAATGTTAACACTACTAAATGTTTAGTTGATATCTCTATCGACCAGGTTTTTAGTTTATCTATGAGAAAATAAACCGATAAAACATGATACGTCATGCATCACACACTGATTGTCCTAGGAAGACCAGTTATTATGCAATAATGTGCCAACAAACAAACCTAGGATGAACAGTCTTCTATCACGTGATTATTAACATACTGAATACCAAATACGACGAAGCGTTATTTTTCTACATAAATAATGTCACTACTAATCAATATAAGACCGTACATAATATTCTACTGATGTATCATCATATACTAAGCTAATAAAGAAGAGTTTAGTATTGGATAAAAAGATAAACACGACAAAATTGACTATTGTTCATACTGAAATAATAAAAACAGGTTTAAACTTGCAGCTTAGTGATAAGTGACTCGGAACTTTGAGTCCGGTTCCAAAGTTACAAATACTGTTGCGGTGAACTCACATCATCCGCTTACTACTGATGATAACTTAATCTGATAGAATGTAAACTAACTGCTGACATAAAACAATCCACAAAGTATGGTTAATAACTATCACGTTAAGCTATTAAACACCCGATGGAAAGAGAGCTCTTCACGGCTTACGTTTATTTTCTGTTAGCATTTATCAACAATGGAATTGAAGCCACTTCAAACATCGAACATTGAATAACTCAATAATGCAATAATCTCACCAATAAAAACTCTGTTAGTACTTGAAACTGAAGAATACAGAATTTGACTGATCTTCGATCGAAAATAATTAATTAATCTATCAAAACAAACTTGGTAGAATATAGGAACCAAGAAATAAGCTATACAAAAATAAAAGACCAAGCAATTCTACAAAGGCAGCGATGCTCGAACACGCAGAGTCACCTCGCAATTTCAGATCGGAGAGGTCAGATCTCACAGGCGTTACAACGGCGCCAGATGTAGCCCAAGTTAGCGTAAACTACCCTGTCTTTTATGATACGACTGGAGATTTCATCAGTCACACCTTTTCTAATACTCATTCAAATACCCAGATAAATGAAATTATCGACAACTTCAAAGAATCTGTCTACGAAGGTGAGTGGAGCTACAGAGGTGTATGACAATCTTGCGTTTTTTAAGCAAGACAGTACCGGTCAAAATACATTCAGATGTTGTCATAAATAGAATCGTCAACGTATGGAGTAATAATTACTTCACGCCCAGCTTAAACTGCTATCCTAATATTACCTTAACAGTTGTGAAAATGAAGTGGTTATGGAAGAGGTCAAGACTGGTGGAACATGCTTACTATCAGCTTACGCGCTTAAATAATTCAAAGTCGAATTTCATCTTCAATGACACCTTCAAGAAAGATTAGTTTTACGTAGGATTATCCCATGAAAATTAGACTTTTGAAGTGCTCACTGAAGAAGCTGTCTACACAGAAAAGCAACAAAGGTTTTGCACTTCACATTAGCAAATCAGAGAAGTGGACAAGGGAATTCGGAAATATTAACTCCATAAGTCGTAGGAAGATTTTTTTAAAAGAAAAGGATAAGAAAAACGAAAGAATACAAAAAGATTTTCAAGACATTTGTACTTATGTGATCTACTCTTTGAGACGTTCTGTCACTGATACCTCAAAGAGTCTACCCAAAAACTTCGTGTTTCTAGACTAATATTTGCTTCAGAATACAACGGTTATTTATTAGTATATAATATTTATTTTTTTAAAAGTCCAAGGTAGAAATTCTTTTGACTGCCTACACACTAATTAAATGAGTGGTATATGTTTCATAACAGAAAAGGTTATCAATTTACATTATTACGTGACAGAAACTAGAAAAACACGAGTGTCTCTAGCCAAAACAACAAATAAATCAGATACCTATTAAAAGAAATATGTGATTACCTTCGTGATTATGCTTCAGATCATTACCATCAGATATCTCTTGTTTACACACAATAAAAGATTCCAGTGTATTTGTAATTTTAGCCAACTCTTCCAATCGTGGCAGCAGGCGACCACCAGTAGTTTCAGCTTCTAGTATCCGACATGATAATGACTCCAAATCTTCTAACATAGTTTTACTCAATGATGAATTCGCCTCATCACATTCGTCTTTTAATGCAGAATGTATGATACAATGTGATGGTGAATAGCCTAAAGTATTAGTCACCTTATTACTACTATTACTATCTGAAGATGATTGACTAGAATGGTGTAGTGGAGATAACGAGGATGAATTGGACATTTTGACTGGTAAATAATCAACCAAAGATTCGATAAGATTATTCCATGCATTTGAAAGTGCAGATAACTGAAAGTAAATAGAGTTTAAAAAAAGAGGGACAGTAAGAATGCAGGAATACAGAAAGAAGTATTCTATATTCAATCTACAATATCACTACAACAATAATAATAAACATTTACGAATCATAACAGCGTTTTATTTGTGTTCGAAAAATAGATAAAACCACATTCCTCAGAAACAGTCAAATGGTGCCAAAACTTGTATGTCAAAGGTTTTGTTGCTAGACAGGAAGGTTTATTTAGTTGTTCTGTCCATGAGGATTCAGATGTAAATTTTGTCATACACACACACAGCCATGAGCTAAACAATTAGTGTAGAATTAGACAGCGCTGGAAAGCAGAAACTTTTTGACAGTGGGAGACCACTATGGATTAATTTTAAGCAAGCAGATTTTACTGGAAACAGCCTACAATCTCCAATTTTCGTCTATTTCTGAGATATCACAACCTGATTCACGAAAAAATCCCTCATAACTTTAATTTTCGCCATGCATAGATAAATAAGTACATACTAACAGATGGATGATGATCAGTAGGGCTTTGTTTGCTTTTGGAAGTGTGTGGGCGATTGTTACTTCCCGACTGCCCACACCGCGGAAGTTGGTTTTTTCATGGGGTACCTAAAACAAAAAAGAACTAGCGTTGTGTGACCGCAGAGCTCAAGGGACGACCACTCGAGGCAGGCAGTTGTGTCCGCATTAAGATATTATCGCCGTGGGGAAAGTCGATATGTACAACTTTCGGGATCGACCTTTTCTAAGCCCCCGCCCTCCAGAGTGAACAGGTAGGAAAACTGGCATGCTGGTCATCTGAGGAAAGCACCTTCCCACAGACCCCCAAAAGCGTAAGCAAATTACGCTACGCTGGTAACTGCTTTCAGCCAAATCGCTATCCTAACGACATTTCTGGTATGGTAGGACCTTGGAGAACATTAGTTCCAGTCAGTGTGGCTCGTTGGGTCATTGCGATATGCAAGCCCGACCACCATGTCAAGGTGGCAGTTACACTTGACCTGATGTCTCATACCACTATGGTGGTTACAAAAAATAAACATAACATCGACCAAGACTAGAAATATTCATCAGGAAAACTGAATTCCTGAAGTTCAGTTCAACCGCGATCTAATGATGTTCTCTAAAGGGTTCACAGAATATTATTATTATTATTAAATCACAATGATTCCTGTATTTTTGTTTATTAAATATCACTCAATAGGGAAATTAACTGGTTGACTAGGTGTCACCAACAATATATACTTATAAATTATGAATATAATTTTCTTTTAAGAAAGTGATGATAAAACAAGGAGTTTAAATGTAGGTACCAATAAGGAACTACACTGTCACTAAAACTAAACAGACTGATACATTCCACAACATTGATGAGACGATTCAATGTAGCACTAGTTTAGCAGGCTGCTTACTGTAATAAGGAGACAATTAAAAATGAAGCAGAAACTATAGGTCATACGTTGAATTTCTTTCTTCCAAAAACTCTGGGTTTTTTCTTCGAATTCAAAAGTACTTAAAATAAATCCAACATTTTAACTGATTGTGTTTTGAAACGGCTCCGAGTAGAAAGAATTACAATTTTGAATATCTCGCTTAACCCCTATCATCATTATAATTCCCATGGAAAACTAGATTTGTGATGTGATTTCTTACTACTCGGTATAGGCAATCATTTGCACAACAGCATTTCACAATTCTACGCCTCATTAAACTCAAAATTTCTTCTCTACATAGTAATTGTGTTGCACCAGCGACCATTACGTATTATTATATAGATACAGTGAGTACAATTGTTATAGAGATATTAAACTGTATCATGATAGTCAATACTAACTATTGTTATTCTATACTTCTTTTTGTTTGACATTTCAGTTAAAGATGAATAATACAGCCATCATATGATATCAGGAGTAATTTTCAGATACCTTATACTACAATAACCCGCATTTCGACTGACTCAGCTAGTGAAGCATTATTAAACACTACTTGGTTCATTTTACAGACTTCCATTTTAAAAGTTTTTTTAAGTAAAAAATAAAAAAATAAATTATAAATAATGGACTTGGAATATAATTACAAATAAACAAATGTAAGTTATGTTGAAAAAAGCTTTTTTTTCGTTCACTAAGTTTGATTTTTCTCACACAGTACATGTAATGTTAGTCTACACGGCATCCAAGGTACACTTCAAAAAAGGTTTATTATTTTTATTGTTCCCTTGGGTTCCGAGTGGAACACAGGGCTTCAACAATACATATCCACTTTGTCCTATCTTCTCCCGTCCTCTTCAGCTGAGTCTACGATTGCCCAAAATCTCTCATCTCTTCCTCGCACGATCTCTTTCATGTCACCCTAGGACGACCCACTCGTCGCTTCCCATCGGGATTCCACTCGAGCAATGGCCTGGCACGCAATGTCATTCGACGGCCTCCTCGATCTGTGCCCGATCTATATCCAGTCTCTCCTACATATTTCTTGAGCCATAGGCTTTTGGTTTGTTCCCAGCCAGAGTTTCTTGTTGCTTATTCTTCCTGGCCATTTGATCTTCAGTATGGAGCCAGCGAAGGCAGCTGTTGATAAAAGTCTACAGCGGCCTGTTGGAAATTCTTTTCGTGACACGCAGTGCAAGTTTCTGACCCGTATAGAAGGACCAACTTGACACGGGTGTTAAAAATGCGAATCTTGTTCCTTATGCTGAGTGTAGATTTCCAAACTGGTTTCAGGTTGATGAAGGTGTATCTTGCCTTTCCGATTCTAACTGGCTTTGACATCTTCATCTGTTCCGCCTGTAGTTGAAACGATGCTTCCTAGATAAGTGAAGAAGGTAAAATCTGTTAAATCTTTCCCGTTGATGGTGATTGCTGCTGGCTGTTGTTGTTGCTGCTGCGGTCCATTGGTTATCTTCATCACTTCAGTCTCCTCTATGTTCAACTGGAGTCCTGTCAAATAAGGTTTACAACCCCATTTCTCTCCTCAACCTACTATTAGGTTAATTAATCAATCACATACTGGTCAGATGTTAAAGTTTTGTTTCATGAAACAATAATGAGTGTTCAGATGATTTTTTCTCAACATTGTTAGCAATTTCCGTGTACATAATAAAATTTTGTCGAATACTGACAACCTATATATGATGCGACTTCACTAATGAGTGACAGGATCAATGCGTTCAACAATTTTCTATTGACGAATGTGAGCACTAGGCTTTTGATAAATAAAAACATGCATGCTATTCACATATTCTTCTGATATGTTTAAGAGTTAATACTTCACCAGCTCTTCACCCAATATAACCGCATCTTTTGTCTTTTATAAATTTATTTTTCAATGACCAGGAAAATATTCTTAGTTAAATCAAAAGAAAAGGTTACTCAGAAATTTTGCTACGGTAAAGACGACTTAAAAGGAGGAATTTTCAGTGGTCACAACACGAAATATGCATCTTATACAATGCTCTGACATATGCTATAACACAAATACGTGTTAGAAGGGACGGCTACAACTATCATTGAGTGAGCAGCCCCACTACAGTACCTCCGCCAATGGGATATCAATGACGCCTCACAGTCAAGTAGTAGGGCTCGAGTCAAACATCAATAAGTATGCCTTTTTCCGAGATCTGATGGACAATGAAAATCTAGTTAATGTGCTTATGGTGATGCCCATAACCAGAAAAAATTATAAAATTTACTAAATTTAAGACTGTAACAAAGGCTAGGTCACAGGGCTTCACAACATGAGATATATTCTAATCAAAATCATTTCTGAATTGATACCATAAACAGATCTCAGTTTTATGCAGCACGGAGTTATCAACTTCCCACACCAGTAAGAAGGAAACAATTTCGACCCACACCCAAACAAAATACCTCTCTCAGTCTAACTGAAGTTTGTAATTCTCTGTTTTTCAAAACTTTTAGTGGTGGTTAGTCAAGACTTGGTATTCTTCCACCTTTATATTAACGTAGTTCAAACACATAACTCGGTAGTAAGCAAATAAGTGACAGAGGCAAGTAGAACCTTTGCTTAAAGGGCTCTCTTTCAATTATCTTATTTAACCACCTTGCAAGTGGATCAATAATGCAACAATCTTAAACAGAGTTACTGAATATCTCACAAGTTTTCTTCACATAAGTCGAGATGATTACAGTCTCAAAGTCTTCATGTACTTACTTATTCTTATTGGCTAAGAATGCATACATAAAATCAATACCACCTACCTCATTCCAAAACAAAAGATGGAGGCTATGAGAATACCTAACCACCATGCCTTTTCTGCCTTCGAAAGCTACAGTAAACTAAATTACAGCAGAGATAACTGCTGAGGAACATTTCCAACTGATAAATATGTGGATATTTCGTAAATGCTAAGAATTATGTTATTAAAAAGCTTTCGCATATGGTGTGATTTTACTAGCAACTCCTTTATGGTAGTTAGTGAGACGCTTTACATAACTAGTGATTAAAACACTCAGTCACTTTACTTCTATTTCTCAAATTAAGTGTTGCTAGAGGCTAATCTTGAAGCATTCTTCCCGGAGAAGAACAATTCATGAAAATTGGGAAGTAAGTACAATCATTATAATTAGATTTCACGATGAAGTTTGCCTACTCGCAACTGTTAGAATATAGATATGATGTGCACGTTTAATTTACGTTTGGAACGTCTCCTGCTTTCTAGCGTACGTTGCTTCTGAGATCTACACAAGCGCAACTGTCTACGAACTTTGATACATGATAGGTCAAAATAATTCTCTAGCTTGTGACAGCTTTGAAGACGTGTAACTTACTGACTACTTGCAATTTTGTGAACATGTATTGTGTAGGAAATATCATTACTAACTGGATGTGCGAATTTCGATAGACGGATTACTTTTTTCAACTGATGACCCAGTAGTAAAAGCTAAATGCTTCAATCAATCAGACACTCTCATTAAAACTTTGGAAATCATGACTCATTGGTCGCAAGAACATAACTCACGTGCATTACTTGTATTCAACCTACGCTGTGTGGTGGGTATACTTAGTCGTAAATATCCTTTTTTAATTCACACAGTATGAAATTTCATAGGTAGGTGTGTAAGCTATTTGGTAATTGTCTGACTGATCGTCAAAAAAATTAGGCTTTGTAAGAAGAACAGTAGTTCTGAGGAACTAATGTACATTAGGGATACCCAAGAAAAATAACCCAGGATCTTTGTGCTTTAAAAATATTCGAAAGTTGAGTATATTTACGTTATTTGAATACACCACCTAAAGATTTAGAGTGTGAATATCTGACTCGAATATCTGGGATGGCAAAGTTAAACTTTGAGCACCACTAACTACCAGTCAGAGAATGACCTATAAAGCACCAATCACATAAAGGAGGCATTTCTGTGTATGGAATACCTGTATTTATGGAAAAAATGCATAAAAGCTGTATAAAGTGTTGCAGAGGATACCTTCCTCTCAGTTTTAGGTTGCAGCATCAACAGAGTATAATTCCAGATAGGTAAAATTTGTTTTGATAAAGTTTCATAGTGTTATACAGTAATATTTCCTGAGCAATAAAATGTGTTCGAAACGTCATCACTGTGAGAATTTATCAAAATAAATTCTACCCACAACACAATTATACTCTACCACAGTGCAAAAGTTCTATTCTTATATCAACAGAGTAATTTAACCACATTCTATGCATGTAATTATTTAGTTCTTCTAACCCTAACAATAACCCTAATCCTTACTGGACCTAACCTTAACGTGAATATGTCCCTAAACTAACTGTAATCTAACTCGAACAAACCCTAATGTCGCCTTGATTAGGTTAACCTAACCCTAACTTGTCCTTGGCTTAAAGCTTAGCTTAATCTTTCTCAAACCTAAAATGAAACTTGCCAGGTATCCCATTTAATAGCATAACACTTCGATGAGCATATTTTATTGATGGTGAAAACATTATTTGCCAGGTTTCACTAATTTGCTCAGTGAGCGTCTGAAGGTCATTGGTGCGGTAGCACTCCATTGGTAGTTAGTGGTGCTTAAAGTTTAACTTGGCCTCTGGGATTTCACATGTTACGTCAGAGGACATAATTATCGGAGGGAATAAGCTTTATGTGTGATGAAGTGACCTAACTTCTCATACCGTTACATCATATAAAAGAAATTACAGTAATCCTAGAAAAAACAAAATATTTTCGACACTTTAAAATATTTACATAGTAGGAACAATAACTGGGCTAGCAGATTAAAATCGAATCCAACATCAATACCTACCTCATAATACTGTTTTTCAATATCACTAATAAATGATGTAATACGAACTCGTTTAATATATTCGCTCCAATAACGTCGTAACTCAGCACGAGCTTCTGTTAGTCGAATGAATATACGATCAAATGAGATCATATGAAAAACATAATCAACTGGTAAATCATACGCATCATTTGTATTAGCCCATGCTGATGATGCATTACACTCAACTGTAGCATCTTCTGTATTGTTCTCTTCTTGTGTATTATTATTATTAGACTGTCTCAACAATAAACATTCACGTATTTTCAAACCTTTAGTCTCACAATCACTAACACGATGCAACCAGTGATGACGTTGTTTACGAAATTCCAGCATTTTTTCATAACTGTAGAAGTGATTCAATTCACAGGTTTTTAATAGTGAAGATACATCCGACGATGAATTGTAAGAATAATCATGTTGTTGTTGTTGCCGCTGATGACTTCTTTCTTCCTGTTGACAGTCATTATCATAATACTGATTCAAGATATTCTTCAACTCAGTGCATAAATTTTCCACATCTTCAAAATATTCCTCAATGCGCTTTATTGTAAGACAAGAGAAAGAAGATGAGGTATAAGTATTAAGCATTTTCTCTAAGTGTTCATAGAATGCTCAACTCTGATGAAGATACATAGACACCATTGCTAGTATTTGAAAAAGGATTTCAAATAATGTTTACACCAGATTATACAATAAAGCATGAAAGTGAAAACAATATGAGAAGTGAAAAACTAGGCATTCAATTTCTTCAGACTTTATCTATTATTCAGCATAAGGTTAGAAGATTGGTTATGTGTTGTATGCTTCATGGCTGACAGTTTATCTAATACCAGTCAAAATGATAGTCACACTCAGGCACACACACACAAAATATGATAATTTTAGCGATAGACAACAAAAAGAACACAAAGCAACAAAAAAACGAATAGCAAACAACAAGTGATTAATCTGCATATAAAATGAGGGCAGTATTTCTCTCTTCTAGTCTCATTGTCTTTTTTGGTTAAGTGTACACACACTAAAGCAAAAACAGAATCAACTTATGGTTAGACTAAGCCAATCAAAAGTAAGCGATTTTTCTTAATTATTCAAAAAATACCATTGGATTATTAGTATTATTATTATCTAGATGGATAATTAGATAATTAGGTGTTATTTTAATTATAAAAGCATGATGCAGCAAAAAATATGATAGATTAGCTATTCACGCGCAAAATATGAAGACACTCAGATGGATGGATGGATGGATAGAAGGATATATACATTACATACTTGAGTAGACGTAACACAGGAGTCTTTTCGAGTAATATAATACAAGATATTTTGTCGGACCTGATGAAAAATATACAAGTATGATAATGAATAGGGTATTCATGAATTTTAACTTTAAAACTGTATGTTCAATATAATATTTTGTTTAAATCGGAGATTATTTACTTAGAAATTTTCGAATAGCTTTATTCAAGAAAACTAACTAAAACGCGCAAAACACAACGACTTAGGCTTCTCAGTCTGATATCGGTGAATGAGCCCACCACGATACGAACGTGTTGATATGATATTTAGCAAGTTATTAAATAGCCCTTAATATTTAATGAATTTATGTCAATCATGCAGGTCAAAACACTTGAAGTGTCAAAATTTACGGCCAAATTTACAGTTATCAGACTGTCCGTTTGGTTTTAGCTCATAGCCCCAGGTAATTCAACACTAATATGCATACAGTTTTTACAAGGACTTTCCAAAAAGCCCGAAGCATTTATCTTTAGTGTTAACTTTAATAAGTTTGACCGTATGATGATAAGTTGATCATGTAGTATGTAGCGAGACAACTGAACACTTTCCTTCATGAAAAACTGTTACGTGAAACTTTCGCTCAGTTAGTCAAAAACTACTCAATGCGGTTTCGTAAAATCTCAGCCCATTTTATAGATTTGAAACATTGGGATAGAAATATTTTCTGCTAAAGTAATCAGTGCATTCTATACTAATGGAAAAAATAATTTATTCTTCCACTACTTAACGCCATAATTTCATAATTTTCTGTAAACAAAACTCAATCACATTCGAGGGGGTTGAAGTGCGACTTTTTATTAATGCTACTATGATTTCTTAAACATCAGTAGAACAGGTGAGTCGAGAACTAAACTACGCAAATATAATAAAAAGGAAGGAGATAAAAAAAACTTAAATAACAGAAGTACTCGATAAGTATACGTACTAAGTACATTTAGAAAATGGTGATGTGGCTCACTCCATTTCCAGTCAGTAAGTTAATGGTTAGAATCCAGTTTCACCTACTCCATCTTGAACAATTGGTTAGTATAATCAGCCCACACAAAAAGTGTAACCTAATAAATGCAACATTTGTTCCGGATAACAGATTTCCCATCAATTAAAACTAACTGATTACCATTTACAGGAGAATCAGTTACCTAGTACTACTGTTGATAAAAGTAAAACGAAGGAGCACCATTACCCTTAAAGTTTCAGATCCTGAATGATACCTTGTAACATCCTGATTCACTAAATTTCAGAATCGAAATCATTACGCACCTACAGATGCTAATTCAACACCATTACTTCTTATCTTTCGACATCACATCATGCATGGACTGGCTACTCCTGACACTCCCAGGCATTTGAAGGCTGGAAAATATGGACGCTGCTAAAAAGAAATTCCCAAAACACCCATATAATTCAAGCTAGTATTTCAAATCACTTGGTTTAGTGACTGCACTGTACACTTAGAATTGCTAGAATTCGATCAACACTCGAGAATAAACGCCAGAATTTCTCATTGTCTGCAACTAATTTGTGTATAAAGGCGATTGTTTTGTAATATATCCTTTTGAAATACAAATATATGTGTGTAAGACCAGAATCACTTGGAGCAAGTAAGTATCTGCAGATATTACAAGCGGACGATAACTCAGATTAATGGAGAATACGTATTAAACTTTTGCTTGCTGGATGAGTAGTAAGATTAAATAAAATTAAAACGCTACGAAATCCTCATCTACGAATGTTTTAATATTTATCACAACTGTCACCAAAGGTTAGCTTTTGATCCTTTTTTAGAATGCAAATATTCAAGGCAATTCACCTGAGAGTCCTATTTTTGCCCCACAATAAGTGGTATCATCAGTAATATAAAACAGAAAATTTTAATTATATCATGATACATACTTCATAAAAACTCCGAAATATCTGTTTTAAGGGAACCACCGATAAACTGTTACTGTTGTCTGGACACTGATTTAATATATCACATTTACCTGTTATTTCATAATAATGTTCATATGAATTTCATTTGTTTTCATATCGGGGTACTTTTATCAATTAGACTTAGCGAAAACTCCCCAAACATGGTGAAATCGCAGTGATTGTATTCTACGAAGAATAAACTAACATCAACACATGGCCTTATGGGATACTCTGACGGTAAACTTATCTTCACTCTAATTTTTGGATATAAACTTAATTCTCGAAAAATTTGCAACTAATTGAATTCTTTAGCCTAACAAAGGAATTTTGGATGAAATATTCAAACATGGCTTCATTTGAAATCTGTCTGTCCTCTCAGTCACACTGCTACATCATAAGTACAGCTCAGTTTATACATTATGATTGATGCATTTATGAGGAAACAAGAAGCCAGTGAAAATTGTGATAATCGCAACACACCAAAATTGCACTTCTTCAGATATTCACCCCAAATATTCATCAACCTTATTCAACAGCTGTACGACAACGGCACATGTCAAGTGATCCACAACGGAAAACTCAGCGAAGCGTTTGGAGTAAACACAGGAGTCAGACAAGTGTGCTTATTATCACTAATGATATTCCTAACTGTGGTGGACTGGATTATGCGTCAGACAGTGGGAAACGAGAAGACAGGGATATCCTGGACCGACGTGAAGAACCTAGAAGACCTGGATTTTGCAGATGATTTATGTTTGATGTCACACAAAATCGAAGACTTACAAACGAAAACCGACAAACTGGTCGAAGAAGCAGCAAAGACAGGACTGCAGGTGAACATAGACAAGACGGAGGTTGTGAAAATAACCAACCAACAACAACAACAGCAGCAACATCCACCGCCAATCACCATCAACGGGAGGGATTTGAAAGAGGTTACTTCTTTCACTTATCTAGGGAGCATTGTCTCAACCACAGGAGGAACGGACGAGGATGTCAAATCGGGAAGGCGAGAAACACATTCATCAACCTGAAACCAATCTGGAAATCTTCGTCACTCAGCATCAACAACAAAATTCGGATTTTCAATACAAACGTCAAGTCAGTTTTGCTATACGGATCAGAAACTTGGCGGGTCACCAAGAATATTTCCAACAGCCTGTTGCAGACCTTTATCAATAACTGTCTTCGTTCTATACTGAAGATTAGATGGCCGGAAAGAATCACAAACAAGAAGCTATGGGAACAAACAAAACAGGAACCAATCGCCCAACAAATATGCAGGAGAAAGTGGAGATGGATTGGACACTCGCTGAGAAGGCCGTTGGGTGACATCGCGCGTCAGGCCCTCGAGTGGAACCCGAAAGGGAAGCGGCGAGTGGGACGTCCAAGGGTGACATGGAGGAGATCGTGTGAAGAGGAACTGAAACAGTATGGATTAACATGGATGCAAGTGAAAAGTACAGCAGAAGACAGAAGCAAGTGGAGGCGTGCAGTTGAAGCCCTATGTTCCACTAGGAACCCAAGGGAACAATAATAATAATAATAAAGTTCCTATGAGATAAAACAACAGAGTACACCGTTTAAATTGTGTACCAAAAGTTTTTCGTGGGTAAGTGTATACATGTACCGCTGTAAAAAGTAGAATAAATTTCTAGCCTGACGTAAACATTTTAAATAATTACAATCATGTATATCACCTCATTAGGATTACAGAAGTATTTAGGATAACACCTTTTTTAGAAAGTCTTGTTTTTCGTCATTTATGTCTGATACTGGTAATACATTTGTCATTTAAAATGTGATATCATTTCTGTAACAAGTGGGCAATATGTGAATAAGTCTCCTTAAAATACCCTGTTTGTAAAGCATGGTTATAGAGTCATAGAAAACATAGACAGACACTACAATATCTAATAAATACCTTCACAAATAAAATGAAAATGAAGTGAATTTACAGCTATCATTTAAGTAAATAAGCTCTGTCCAGGGCATAAAATAAACATTTCACAAGTGTATGTGAGACCTTTCTAAAAAATAAAGATTGATATATGAAATATGCTTACTATCCTATTGGAAAGCCAGTCTTCAATGTCAAAGCAAAGTTCACCTCCTAAATCAGTTGTCAGATGCTGCTGGTCAATGAAAGGAAGTAGTTCATCAGTTCTGTCAACAAACAATATTGGTATTTTGCAGCTATTTCGTATTGAGCAAATGGTTTTCTCTAAGAACAAATTCTGCATGAAACCTTGAGGTTTGATAACAAAAATTTGATGCAGGTTCCCGGGAAACTTCTCCTAAATATATCAGTTAAGAAAATCCAAATATTTACTAACATTCAGTTTGGTGATAACCGACTTAACAACCGTCCAATTTCCAGTGCGTCTGTCGATTATGACAGTAAACTCTTGAACACAAGTAAGCATTCTATTTTTAAAAGATGAATACTTTGAATACAAAACCCACGATGATAATGAAGAAAAGTACTGCATAAGAAGATCATATGAATCGTCACACAGGTTATCCAAACCAAGATCTTGAAAAATTATGAGAGAACGAAACTCTTTGTCGTGACCCCCTGAAATAAAACTATGCACTGGATCAAAGTGACCTTACCTGTGAATATTGCGAACTTCTTCAAGAGCACATCCTTCAGATCGTTAGCTGAAATCAGCGGATTTTCAGTGACTGATGTAGAATATTTTTCCGTCATCCTTGTATTTTCTTAATTCATAAGCAGTCTCAAGTCCCATAAGGTAGTTTTTGTAACACTAGTATAACAGCTGAAATTAAAAGTTATGCATGCAGTCAGCCATTTAACAGACTTAAATTTCATCACAAGGGAAACCAATCATCAAACAAGGTGAAATAAATGTTGCCTACCCAAGGATGCAGCAAATAATACCACATCTTCACTAGCGCATACATTCTGGGGCAACCAAATAAGAAACACAGTGATACAGCATTAATCAATACTGTATGCGTCTGAATAAAAGCCTTAACTAAATGTACGCTACAAAACACTATTGCGCATCTTTTCTATGTGACATGCTGTTGTTCGTGCACGATTTTCACTTTCCCTTTTTCATTCAGAAGCAAGTACTAAGTAAAAAAAATCACTACGGAGTAATGAGTTACCAAGAAAATTCATTTTGTCCACAAAAATTTAAGTTTTGCAATACCCCAACAAACATGAAAGTTTCTACAAGCTGGTGAGTTCCAACTGTACTGTGATAATTTAGTTTCAGAAATTCAGTTTTAAATATTTAATTCAACCAACAATTAGAGTAGTGAAACTTTCCTCTGGAGACTTAACGAATATAGCTGATTAATGCTTACGCGCAAAAATCACACTGTGTAAGTACTCAGTAGACCGAATATACGGCATATGCTACCGAATTCAAAGTGGTAGAGATTTACGGAAAGTGACATTTATTGCCAAATGATAATTTAACAGACTTACAGATAAAACGCGAATTAACTGATCCTTCACACACGTACAACAGCCCAAGCTTACAATAATGCTGAATTAAATCTCAGTAATTCTGAAATAATTCTTGCATCGTATAGTGAGTAAATTCTGAATCTGTTCTGAAATGGTTTGTTTAATGGCACAGACTAGAACTCAGTGCTGGTTTTCAGCATGACTAGAACGAATTCAGCACCGTGTTCTTTTTCTAGGCATATCCAGGACTAGATCAGAACATACTAGGTTTCCTTATCAGCGTTGTTCCAGCCATTACAGGACATATTAAGCACTGACTAGCATTACTTCAGAACGAAAAGACCTAATTCAGCACATAGTGGCAATTTTTTCAGCTTAAAAATTTTCATTTACCATAAAAAGGCATTATCAACGCATAGGTTAGAATAAGTTTAGAATTGTTGTAAGCTTGGGAAGTAAACCTTAAATGCACTGTATCTTCAACATGATAAAGTGGGAAAACTGACGAAGCCGCTGAAGAGGAATCCTATCAGATGAGCATTTGGTATATGGTTCGTTAGGGTGGCTATGATTCATAGTTATCCATAAAAAAGGTTACAAAATGAGGGTTGCTAGCAATAACTTGTCCACTGAAGAAAAAAGTTTAAATCCACACAAAAAATAATGGATATTTTATCATATAAAGCACATATGTGTGACTATTTATACCACAAAAAGAGGTAAATACCTCATATCCCACATTGATACTATCCCTCAAGTAACGCTACATATTAAATATGCCTCTACTCCTGACATATAATTCAGATTTCACGGACATGAGATAGCTGGCTTTTCGTAGCTTGCTTTATTCGTCTCTGTGTATATCTCTCCGGGGTTTCAGTTCTTTTCGGGACACTGTGTCCACTAGTTCGGTTATTGGGTTTCAGCTACGTATCGCCCTATGCAAGAATCTAAACAGCACCGATCGTTCACGCTATAGCTGTTTGACAGCCTACTGGTGACGGGATCTCAAAGGTTTCGTGGAGTGAAGAAAATAATAATGGAGACCAGGATTCAAGTAATCATCTAATAAATAAATGCTTAAATAAATAAGTGTCATTCCTTAAAATGTGGTTTAAGAAGATAAAGGATGTTGGTGTTTACTCATGTGTTTATCCCCAGCAACCAAAGTACTTGTTCTGCTGAGGTCAGAGGCAAATTAGAAGGAAAAATCGATCGCTTAAAAACGTGAGACATTTTATGGGATCAACGTGTGTGACTATGATTGGGGTTTAGATAGCTAGGTTTCACGTACTCACGACTGGACGTAATACGAGTACATGCCAAATAGCGTGGAGGTTTAGCCGCGTGTCTTCATCCTCACCAGCCGACTTCAACAGTGAAGGTCGGCTCCCAGCGTTGAGTGGAAAATATTGTACGCTAATAATTTTGATTTCTTTATTTACCTTGAACTGCTGATTTGTCCAGCATTCACGAAACCGACACTCATACTCGTTAATCCTATAGAATGAGGGAAATCCTGTTAGGTATAATAATTGGGTGGTATGCGTCTAATAATGTGCATTTGGGGAAAGTAATAAGGCACAAATAAAACGTTGTAGTGTATCCTTCGCTTTCATTTGAAAGATAAAAGACAACGTTAATAATCACTGAGTCTCCGAAAATCACTTAATTATAATTGCTTGCCTCGATCATTGTCACTGAATCCAAAGATGTTGACAGCTAAACATCCGATAAGCATTTTTCAGCAATTTCAGTTTTAAACTTACCATTTTTGTTTGGCAAATGAATACAAATTGGCAGTATTCAAGTAACCACCATCTGTAGGTTTTTTATACCAGTCACTTTTCATCCACTGAATTAAATAGTTCCAAAAGGTAAATAAATCAACTGTTGTTTCCTTACCACCTGAAGAACACATAATCATTAAATACACGACCTTTGAAGTAAACCAACTCCACGAGACTAACAGATAGGATTCCACGGAGATTGTGTCCATAACATGTAAATGTGAGCTCGTCAAACACTGTCCAATGGAAACCTGAACTCTCTTGTCCCAGGCATTCTGAAGCTGTCAAACATTACCTCTAGGTCCCAAGGTTTGAAGATCATGTTACACCAATGCTACGTACTAGTTACAAAACGCTTCAGAGAGCGCCGTAACTTACTTTTTTATCTCCGCTAACGGGAAAAAAGTACCACGCACGAAGCATGATGCAGCATCATTTGCGTCTAAAGTTTTATATGGAATTTATTAGCAGTTGTCGCTAAAATACAGATTGATTTTGTCTCAAATGAAATTATCGAACTCGAAACTCTCTTAGAACTATCAACTTGAAGACATCATTGATAAATCTGGCGCACTTAACTAGGTATATGCATCAGCTACTTAAGAAGTATGCGACAGATAGCAACGTCCAGTGTTTCTTACACTGAAAGAAATCAGAGTTCGGAACTTCAACAGGATCCTTTACCAATGTGTCTTTTATTTTTTTACTGGCGTCACCATCAAAACTTTGGGTTAGTTTAACGTGTGCCTTAAACAGAATACAGCCCTTCACTATTTCAGCATGTGGCACCGGTGGCGTCGGTGGCACAGCTGTTAGGACTCTCGCCTACCATGCACATGGTAGGGGTTCGATTTCCTGCTAACGCACAGCTGATATCAGTGGTCGGCCTGCAAAATTTGGGCTACCGATATCACATGCCGGAAAATTTCATACTTGTACCAAAAGTACTGTGTGGTTTCAGGATATAATCAAAAATAATTTTAAAAAATAAAATATGACACTGACTTGTATCAAGACAGTTGTTTTGAGTTAGAGTCACTTTCACAAAGACTGATTATTTCCGTGTTCTCAGTTCAGTCTTCTTCTAGTGGTGTCAGCTGTACCCTGCGTGCTTAAAATAAAGCATTAACTCTGAAGACTACTGATCGCAATGCTACGGATTAATCATAATTTCGCCGTCGAAAATTATGCTGAAGGATGTACATTCCTTCTTTTTATTTGGTAGATAAACAACTCTGGGTTAAGAACAATTGTTATTAGTAATGGGTTGGACTTATTCTACATGTCATGTTGGTGTCCACGTCATGTGATCTGACCGCAACACACTCTGAGCGCATTGATTGCAATGGCTTATGTTTCAGGAGAACTATATTAAAATAATACTATAATAGGCAGGATGGGGTAGTTGGAGGGTAATGTCATCTACACAGATAGTTTACATTATACAAAAGCTAAATAATAAATGTTCCGCCGATTAGAATTAGAAAGAGGAGGCCAATGGTTTAAGGAAAGTTTATTTAAAGTTTTCCCGTAAACCATATACACCGCGTATTTATGGACAAGGAGAAATTATAAATGTCCAAAAAATAGAAATTTGACTATTTGAACTGAAACAAGCAGTTTGCATTCAGTCATTGCCTTCATCCTGAATAACAATCAGCTTCTCAAAATGTTGTTACTTCGAGGAAATCCCCGACTCTAAACCACAATCCTAAAGGTTATTTTTGCTAAATAAGCTCTCACGTTCAACTAGAGTAGATCGTATACGCAGCAGACCATCGTATGTAAATCGCTTTTTAAATAGTCTTGTAACATAATGAGTAGCCGTTAACATTGGCTGTACTGTTGACGATGCTAATTCATTTATCTGATCTAGTATATTAAGCACTGATAACCGTAGATAGAGCTTACCCTTTTAGAGGTTTCCGATTGCGTTCCGGTTTCTTTCTGTTTCCTTAAACACTAACAAGTTTAACATATTCATAATTCGAATGTGGTTAATCCTTGTTTAATTTAGGCTCTATCACAATATATTAGGTGTTTGTCAACTAAAACTTCAGAGCTTTCTCAATGGTTGTGCACTAAATGCACAAAAAGGTATAAAATAAAAACAACTGGCATGAGGATAATTGTATTAAAACCAAAAGTGGATATCATGATAGTTTGTGATATATCTGTAGCATTATACATTGCAAATGAATGTTGTTACCCTAGGGTGTTTCCTTTATTAATGCATTTATTAATGATACTTGCACTTACCTATCTCATTACAATTTAATGATTCACCTCAGCACTTTAATTTTTCTAAAACAGATTCCAATCCCTTGTAAAAGGTGTACTTACCTTAATATTGGTTGGTTATCGTATGCCTACAACCACGGGATGAAAACGGAACGAAGTCGATTTTCCCGCTCAACCTGGAGGACAACTGTACAATTCAATAACTATACGGCCTAATTCAGAAAATGAGTGTATTATATGTATCGAATATTTAACAGTTGAAATACGATTAACTTGTAGACAATCTACGATTTGATATTATATCATACTTGATCGTGCCTGTAAAAATGGCATGCATTTTCATGTAAATTTGTAAATTTATATGAAATACATTATTATTATTATATTATTATTATTATTAACTTCAACCCAGGTTCCAAGTTCTCTGGGTCTACTACGTTCAAAACCTTACTTATATCATCTCTGACAGGGCTTACTTCACCAGAATAACTAGTAGACTGTCGCATGTTATAAACAACAACGTGAAACATATCGTTTTTCCGGGTGTCCACGTATTAAGTAACCATTTGGGCCAGCAACAATAACGGCAACCAACAAATGAACTGGAAAAAACGGTTTCTGCAACGAAAACATGTTAATATTCATAATTTCCAAATTGTACACAGTGTTATTCGATTGAAAGCTGAAAAGTGATTGAAACACTACGACAAAGCATGAAAGCGAATTACGAAACAATTATAATGAAATGAATGAACTGACATGGCGGTAAAACCTTCCGAAACAAACTAAGTAACTCATTTTGACGGTAACAGAAACCGAAAGGATGTAAAACTCGAGATGAATGGATAATCCACATTGGAACAATTTGCGAATAACTGCAGGATAAATGTAAAATCCAGTATGTGAACCGAGTGTTAGCTAACAGCAATTCAACATAGCCAACTAACGTGAACAGAAATGACTCTAAAATACCCCAATCCATCCAGTTACCTTGGGCGTGATAGATAATTTCTTTTCTAGGGGTGATGAAACCGTAATTTACTTCTATTTCTAGTATTTTGTGAATATTTTACGGTAGACACCAGTAATTTACCTGTAATGGTGTCACTCATGTCACTCGCAGCAGATTGTATCACTTGTAGTTAGAATAATTTGACCATTGATGTTATGTATCTTTCAGATGCTTGACAGTTTGAAACTCGATTCTGTACGATGCTAACACATTCAGGAGTGGCCTCCGACTGCATTGCAAAATTGTCAGCAAACTCATAAGTTTCTTACGAGGACTGAAACAAACTGGCGATATCCAGTGAATGATTAAAGAAATCCTTGACGCTGATGAGTTCATGAATTATAAATTCCCTTTGTCCAAGTAGTTTGCATCTGCTACTGGAATTCAAAGAACTTTACGATGGGAAACGGTGTTCAAAGTAGCAAGCGAGTAGCGGCACGCCTAGTTGGTTTGGTTCATTCCTATCATTTCTCACTGTCACAATTACTTAATTACCCAGCTGAAAGGGCTTAAATATTATATCCTTTCTACATTAGTTAGGTAGATCAAAGGTTTCTGGGTCACCAGTTCAGAATGAGCTAGGCTATTTATTCAGTCGACCGTATATTGGGGGTGTACGTCTACCATCACCAGTGGAAATAAACCACTAACCAACGATGTTCCAAGCCGAATCTGGCAGAAAGAGGAGCAAGTAAGTCTCCGAATGGTGAACGTAACTGGCCGTTTGAAATACCTCCGGAACCCCGAACTCTTAATCACCAATAGGGTTCTGTGATGAATACACCCTACATCAGCCCTCTTTAGAGGCGAATTTTCTATAGCGGTTGGCTCAATTAACCCATCTCCTGTGGATATGTCTAGGATTTTTCATTGGT